GTTTTTCGCAAAAAAGTAAGTGTTATTATCTCTTTAAAAGTAGAGAAAATTACCTAAAAGGCGAGGTATGTGCGGGATCTGTAACCCAATTAGTTCCAGGGATACATCTCTGTGAATATTGAAAAGTTTTTTGAAATTTTTACGTTTGTTATATTTTATACCATAATAAATATTGCCATAAATACTCATACATACTACATACGTATGTATGTATCATACAGAAGAGGATTTATGAAATGACCTCTCAGCAGCGGTCTGAATTCGTGTATCGAGAGGCGATGCACAGAATTAAGAGCTCTGTCTGTGTGCTCTGCCGTAATCTTTCCACCACGTCGTGTGACCACATCGCTCATAAATTTTATGAATGGTGTAATTAATAGAGTCCTTAATTATATTATACCGGTGCTGCGTTCTGTGTATATACTAGTACCTTGTGTACAGAACGGTACGCTTGAAAAATTAACACATTGACAATATTGCAAAATGTTTTTGAAATATTGTTAATGTTGATTATATGGTAAAATATACTTCAGAAACGAAAATAAGTATGTAATTGATATTAGTATGAAATATTCTGTAATAATTAAGTAACAATAATTACAAAAGTTTTATTTCATATTTATTTTAAATATTCAAGAAAATAATATCAAATATCCAAGTGTGCTGAAAATGTTTATCTGATCAGCTTTTAGATTGCAAATGTGTTCGATTCTTAAGTCGCTACTGATTATTTAACAGAAGGAAGATGTATTTTAATGTTAGTTGTCTTGTTTAAAAACCAAATCCATCGAAATGCCTGTCCCAGCGGATATTAATTGCTTTATTTATTTATCTCGTGCAAGACTTTGAAGTGTTTCTGCAGGAGGACGCAAGTCATGAGAAAGTAGAGAGAGCGGGCTAATCCATTATAATGGCCCTCTACGGAGGAGATGGTCAACATCCCCTGCACATAATGCGATACAGCAATTTTGTCAAGAGTTCTGCAAATGCTAAAATCAATCTGGCACGACTTCCACCCACGAAAGATGCAACCAAATATCACTCTTTTCGTGCGTACCACCAGGTACAGAAGTGGCTTGGAGTCAAAAAGGCTCCAATACTTTGGGGATGGACGGCCACGGATCAGAGGGGCTACTTCCGATCTCTATGATGCAGAACGCGAACACTGCGAAGGCATCAATTGCACGAACATACCAAGAGCCGAGGAGTTGGATGAAGAGATCTACGCAGATGTGGAGTCACCTCCAGACAACTTTGATAGCGTCTCCTCTCTTCAACCTAAAGATAGCCAAATAGGAAGTTCAAGTACAAGCGATGACTCTTCGCCTCCTCCAAAGATGATTAAGGTTTACGCAAACCGACGCGGACATGCGGACGCGGGAGCGGGAGCGGTACCGGATGCGGGGAAATATTTCTACTGCTGGATAGGCGAGCACGTACACCGATGTGGCGGTTCGCACGCATATACCGCTGTAGAAATATTTCCCGCATCCGTACCGCTCCCGCTCCCTCGTCCGCATGTCCGTGTCGGTTTGCGTGGACCATTACCTCGATTTTAAGTTGTGAAAATTTCTAATGTAATTATTTTATTTTCACTTTTTTTGGAAAACTTGTCAATATTCACAGAGCTGTATCTCTGGAACTAATTGGGTTACAGATCTCGCACATAGCTCGTTTTTTAGGTAATTTTCTCTGCGTGTATCTTAATTTCACCAATCACTAATTATTATATTACATATTGTAACGGAAACGCTCCAGACATGACGTCACCTTTGGCGCTCTGGAATTTTCTACGCGCGCGATAGTGGGATTTGTGTAGGAATATTCGAGACTGTACGCCAATGTTCTGGACTTACATTGCTTGCGTGTATAAATGGTTGCGGACCGAACATCGCGGCAGTCTACTACCGAACGAGATCGAGTACGTAAACAGCGAGCGCGGAAATATAAATTGCGAAGTGTGTGATATAAATAATCGATATAAATTGTACGGTTTTTTATAGTGTTTTAGTTTTGTTTAATAAATATTGATATAAATCGAACCCGAATTTATAAATCACGTTACAATATATTTATACGTATATTAAAGTGGTGTTGTATTTGTTTATCCAAACGAATGCTAAAAAAACGGTTATTTATATACGTATTATCAACGTAGAACGTGAACTCTCTGGTTTATATGTAGATATGAATAAAATTCGTACATTAAACGTAGGTATAAAATTCGTCTACACAAAAACGTATACCATATTACCAATACCGAATTTATCCTATCAAAGCGCTTTTAAAACCGTATATTAAACGTATGTGTGTTTACTGGGCTACTAAATAAATAAATCTCTCTGTATGAAATTGAGAAGATACGAGGGTAGTAATAACAGTAAAAATCAATTTAGGTACGAAAAAAATACTGGTTTATTCACACCAAATATCCAATCAAAAATAAACTCCATAATGGGATAGCATAAAACACAAATATTCAAAATTATAATTTACATTAACCAAAAATCTGAGTATCTTGACTGTGCAATTTAAAATTTTTTCCAGTTTAACCAACTTCCAATTAATGTAAATGATGTACTTAGGATAACAAGATAAAATCGTAATTATATCCTCCTACGGAGTTAAGGACGAATCCATCCATCCATTTCCGGAAGAATCCAGTTACCAGAAATTAATAAAAAATGGTTGATGGTAATTAAAATGCAATGCGTTCCTATCTAACGCTTCAGATTTTAATTAAAATAAACTGCACTCTGTCACGACTCAGTAACGAAAGAGGAAGGCGAAGATCGACAACCAAAAAGCACGACACCTGCGAAATGCGCGCTAAAATTGCGTGGTTCAAATTCCAACAATAGATGGAGCCATATATTCATGGTATAATAAAAAATAAAAATAATAAATAAAACATATATTTAACTCTTCTCAATAGTTACGAGGATCATTCAACAAAATATACTGTGAACAGTAATAATCAGGGTAATAATGGAACAGTAGTGACGAAATAAACCGTTACAACATATGTATGGTGTGTAAATCTACCAAAAAAGGTGTGAAACTACAATTGGATAAGTGCCACTCCATCTTTAGCCAATTGTTCCAACTTGTCCTTTTCTATAACAAGACCCTCAAAAGGGTTGAATTTATCTCAAAAGTTCGTTCACTAGAATATAGACTTGCACCAAGGAAAGCTGAATTTCGAAACGAGGTAAATTAAATTGGCCTTATCAAAACTGGTAATACATGTGTAGGATGTATGCCAAAGCATGGACAAGGTCAAAATTACCATAAATCGTTGAAATGAAACATGCTTGCTTATGCAACCACACATCGCTCTCAAGTTCTGAGCGGGTAGTAGTTGGTGGTTAGGGAGTGGCTCAGAACCCGTATTCCAACAAAACCCCCCACATGAAGCAATTTAGAGACATCAACAACACGGAACAAATCCGATCCAAAGAAAACGAATCAACAATTATCATTATGATATGGTACTAATTTTGGGCTCTTTCGAATTTATGGGAATTACTGTTGATATAAATTAACCATGCTGAAGAACTCTTAAGGCTACAATCTAAACATATTTTTATCGACATTTCAATTGTTATATAGGGGTTATTTATATCCAAGTTGCATTATTTTACATATCTCGTTATATTATTGCATATTTCGATTCCTTGGTAAATTTTAGTGTGACTATATGTATCTATGTATTTTGTGTATTATTGTATTCAAAAAGTAGATGTCCAATAAAAATTAAATATCGCCGTAACCATAATAGTTATTGTGTACCAAGGCCCTAAAAGTGATCTTTTTTGGCCGAAGCTGCTGTTTGTGGCTGAGGCAGTAGCCGAGGCCGCAATTCAGATGAGGTCTAACAAATCACTTTTGGCCAAGGTGCACACAACATATTTTAGGGGATCATCAAAAAAGAAATCAAAAATTTGCTCATAAAACAACATTTTGATACCGCACGGTTGCCGCCAGACATGGTTGAGGAGCACGAACTTATAAATTAAGATGGACTGTTAATGCTGAATTGACAAATGACACCTACATGGGGGCAGCTATGATGTGCACTCACTTGGCGCGAAATTGAAATCAACTAATAAACAAGCATTAATCTCACGTTTTCTAAATAAATTACTGTGGCACATGTCATTTTCCAAGGCTGCAATAGTCTAAAAACTTTAGCACTAGGAAAATTCCCCTAGCAAATAACTAAAACGTGCACATCATGGCCGCGCCCATGCTACGGCCATTTCTACCTCTATGCAACTGTTTCATCAGCAGTCCATCTTAATTTATAAGTTCGTGTTCAGGAGTCACTTGCAGGCTCATGAATACAAAAATGCACGACAGTTCCTACAAACTTTGAGTGAAAATTCGAAAAGCCCGGATTGGGGCCTATTATGTAAGTATACAGCGAACCTACATTACCTAGGGTTGCCCAAAAGTTTTTTAAAGACCAAAGAGGTAATTGAAAAGGTAGAAGAACGAGAAGCCGATCAACCAATAACTGTGAATGATTGAGCAGTTGAGGACAGCGATATATGGATGAGGAAGATAGAAGAAGCTGATGAACCCATCATTCTGTTGTAATATTGATTCAGCTGTGGAAGACAGCGACACGGATGATGAATAAAAAAAAATATACCCACAAAAAACACACGGTAGGTACTTACTAACTCGATCCAGAGACTGGTATAACAAGTCTCTGACTCGATCGGGCTCCCTTGATAAAATATTTTACCCATTTATAGATCAAATCCCGGGCAGCGTTATTCACATGTATTTTTCTATTTCTATTTTCTATCTGAAATCTAAGTACAAAATAGAATTTGTAACTCAGTGTAATCACTAAATTAATTAACAAAATAAAACGAAATTAAATAAAAAACAAAGCTTCAAGTTTCCCCTTACTGTTATGCAACACATCACATTTGCGTATTTTGCAATCTAGGCAACAGCGCGCGCCTGTCATCTGTCACAACACAAATCACAATCGTTCACTTACGCATGGCAAATGTTTACATTTCTTTATTTTGATTTTAGGTAGTGCTTCTTTACAAATTGTTTCAATTTTTATAATTATACAAAAATGTCGAAAACCGAACGGCCAGACATCGATGATGAGATGTATCGAACTACAATTTTTCAACAAGCAGCGGCTTCCTGCACGGGGGCTCTCATAACCTCTATATTGGGTAGGTATTTACATGGGGAGTTAATATTTTCAGTAATTCTTTCCTTACAGTGACACCTCTGGACGTAGTTAAAATAAGACTTCAAACTCAACAAAGAGTAATTACTAATAATTGTTTTTTATACTGTAATGGCTTAATGGACCATTTATGCACTTGTTATCCAAACGGTGCTCAAAAACAATGGTATAACCGACCCGGGCATTTTAATGGAACTATTGTACTAATAAGTTTATTATTCAATCTTTCCATAGCCTTTAATGTTATATCTACAGGACGCTTTTGTAAAAATAACTCGATACGAAGGTATTGCATCGTTGTGGAGCGGTTTAAGCCCGACATTGATACTAGCACTTCCCGCTACGATAGCGTACTTCGTCACATATGAACAATTGCGTTTAGGCTTAAAAGATTATTGTAATAGGGATCGACAAGATGGGGAACCATTTAAGCAGCCTGCATGGATTCCCCTGATAGCTGGTGCTACTGCGCGGTTGTTTTCTGTCGTTTCTGTTAGCCCTCTTGAACTTATCCGAACAAAAATGCAATCCACAAAACTTAGCTATTTGGGTAAGTTAAATTTTTGACTTGTATGTGCGCTATTAATTGTTTGTTAGAAATTGGTGAAGCACTGAAATTAGTTTTGAAGACTGATGGTATTAAAGGACTGTGGAGGGGTGTGTTTCCAACCTTACTACGTGATGTTCCATTTTCGGCTATATATTGGTCACAGTATGAAGCACTGAAAAGGTGGTATGGTCCTGGAGTGCCATCTTTTTGGTTTAGTTTTATGGCTGGTGCATTTTCTGGAGGTGTAAGTAGTTTGCCAAGGAGAATTTTAAGTACCTAATTATACTTTTTACCTTGCTTTTTACATAATCTCGTGAGCAATAAATAAACAATGACAATATTATGGATACTTAACGTTTATGACTGTAGTTACTCTAAGCTAGGCTATTATTTTGCAATTCTGTATATCTTCTCATGTACCCTGTGTCCTATTTCGGTTGAGATTGCGGTGTATCTCAGCTGTTTTTAATAACATAGACTTGGGGTTTTCGCGTGTCAGTTTTTTGTAAAACTTTTTTGCCACAAACAATCTAGCTACATTTGTTTGAGATACAGGGTGAAAACGAAAACTTTGACTGTTTGGGATGTTATCATATCTTCCTACCCATGTAAGATAGAAAAAAGGTGAAAACTGTTTCTTCTTGATATTTTTACGCAGAATTTAGTGGCGTAGTAAAAAAAAATTTTGGACCACCGTTTCTGAGATTTGACCCCATGTTGGCATTTTTTAAATGCAACACCCTATATATTTTAACGTCAATTATTTGCATTCTTTTTCCTGATTACATTGATGTATTACAACCTATATCTTTTTTATATAATTATATATTATATTACTTATGTTTCTCCAAATTTTGAAATGACATGTTTCTAGCTTAACCAAAATAGGACACACAGTATGTTGTTCAAATTTATTTAATCTCCCTCTATTAGCTACCTAAACGAAATTGAGTTTTAGTAATATCTTTTGCTTCAAGGCCAATCAGTCTCCCTTAGCTGAAGGTTTCAAGAATACAAAAATAAAAAAAAAAAAATTTTAGGTGGCATCAATCATTACTCTTCCATTTGATGTTATCAAAACGCATCAACAAACTGAATTGGGTGATCAATCAAATGGGAGTGAGTAGCATCGTTTAGTGACTGTCAAATAAATTTAATAACAAACAGTCGAAGATTTTCCAACAGAAAATCATTAATACGTAACATTTTTAGCACGAAAATCAGGTTCTACTATGAAGATGATGTTACAATTACACAAACAGCATGGACCCAAAGCACTATTTGCAGGACTGGTACCTCGTCTGATCAAGGTTGCACCTGCCTGCGCAATCATGATTTCTACTTTTGAATATGGTAAAATAACATTCAACAGGTTAGGAAGCTACACTTTTGGTACAAAAGAAAATAGCGGCAGAGAAAGTTCTGAAACAGTAAACAATGTCAACAAGTCTGTCACTGGCAAGAACTTCACTGTTCAGAATATTGTTTCAAAAACAAAATCTGAAGTTTTATAAATAGGTCTAGTCAAATTTGGATTACATTCTTTGTTTGCAAAACACTAGTTAACCTGAAAAAAAAATGGTTACTTAGTTCATTATAAAAATGGATGCACCAACTTGTGTTTAGAATTGTTAACACATTCCTTTTGTGTTCTACTTTTACAGGTTGGTAGGTGCAGAATGAACCAAATTTCAACATTCCAAAACAAATTTTGCAATAATTGTTTTGTGTGATACTTAAATAGAGAATTGACCAAAGTTATGTTAATAGAGTTTCCATATCTATTGAAGAAAGTGATTCTCCTATCTCTGTCCCAACATCCCAACCTGTCCTGCCAATGAAAATTTCTACATCTAAAAAGTGATGCATCTCTTGTTGTGGAAATCGGCGTGTATACTAGTTAGATTTTTTAAAATTGTGTACAATCTAAAAGCAATCACATTGTGATTCAGTTTTGTAAGTTCATACTTGTAAATATATCTATGTGCAACAAAATTAATAAAGTCGCTTTATTGATCTAGCATCTGTTGTTAAAGGTCTCAAAAACAGTAGAAGCGTTGAGTGAAGGATTAAATTACTCTAACAAAAAATCACGTTTCAGTAAAAATTAAAAAAAATATCGAATCTTCCTATTGGCCCGTATGAATAAAAGTAAGCAAATGCTTATACTTGCAAAATTCAAAGTAAATACTCGTAAGTGCTCCTTCGCACTGGGCGACTTAGCAGCGCTTCTAAGCAGAAGGACAGGACGCAGTGCAGCGCTGCTAAACAGACCAGTATGAAGGGGCAGGAGTATTTAGTTTAAATTTTGCAAGTTTAAGCATTTGCTTACTTTTATTCATACGGCTATTATATCTTTGAATACCAATATACACGCGCTAAGTATAATGAGCACAGAGTAGTTAATCTGTGGTATGAGTAAAGTGTAAGTCTAACTTAAGTAATATCTATGAATTCCACCCTCATAGTCCATTTGTTATTACTGTTCCGATATACCTATAATTAACCCCACTAAATGCAGCGTTAACTTTTTCTACCTCACGTCGTAGATTTAAACATAAACAATGGTTGTTTACGCCTACTTGATGGTGATGCCATGCCATGCAAGCGAAATTCACTTCAATAAACATTCTTTAACGTAAGCGATACGAGCTGGAATGGCTTAACCGTTGTGGTACCTTACTTTGTTTATTCTGCACGTCAACAATAACGCGTTGCAGTTTGTTTGAGAGAATTATTTATATTAAATCGACGACGTGCAGTAAAAAAAAGTTAACGCTGCATTTAGTGGGGTTAATTACATATCGGAATAGTAACAACGGATATAGTTGTAAAATTTATGTAACAAGTTGCAAATTGACTGTCTTTGGCGTACTAGACGTGTATTTGTCCAATTAGCGCAGCGAATTGCACAAAAACGTCGGCATACTGCATCAAAGACTTCTCATCCTTTTAGGACTGACCGAAACAGTGTAAGTATAATAGAATGCGCTCTCCCGGTTTATTCAACCCCCATATTATCCATAATTAACAGTTAACCATAACTTGAATCAAACAAGTATAGAAATTGGCTAGTTATTTTTTTTAATTTTTTTTTTATTGCCTTTATTTTATAGTGAGCGGAGTGTTAGCAATTTGCTACTCTTCCCACTCAACCCACTATATAATCACAAACCGCCATGCCTCTTACCTGGGATTCGAACCCAGGACCCTTGTAGCCAAAGTTAGAGCTTCTCGTAAGCTCTTCTGAGCAGTTATCGCCTGAATTAGGATAGGCAACCCCTACTCCTACTAATATGGGTTTCCCTGTGCCTCAGTGATGGACCCCAGATATTCTAATCGGTTTTTTTTTTTGTAAATAAGTATCTTGATACATAGTCAAGTATGGCGGGGTGGTCAAATATGTCAAACTGCGACGAACTAGGGTAGTTATCGCGGATAATTGGTGTGCTTCTAACATTAAAAATAAACTCATTAGCGGAACAATAATTTCAGTTTACTTAAAACAATAAATAAATACTTATAGCTATACAAAATATAGTAAACCTCTCGCCAGGAAAGATTGCCGGTCAGAGAACACTAAACTTGATCCCGGTTTACAATCTATGTTTTTCTAAAGATGTGAGCGACTTCCGGTATAGTATCGTCTCAATGTTAAACAAAAACACTTTTCGTTTAACATTGGCACGATCCTATTCCGGAAGTCTCTCGGATCTTAAGAAAAACATAGATTGTAAATCGACACACGGTGTGCTGTGACCGGCAATCTTTCCTGGCGAGAGTTATAATTAATGGATCAGTAGCGACAACCTGTTCTGTCGGCGAAAGACAGCTGAACGACGGCAAGAAACGACAGCAACGGACTGACTCGCGGGCGCCACCAAGCGAAAAATCTCGCGCCTGGTCGAGGTCGGCGGTAGGTATTAATATAACAGTCTGGCGGGTAGTGTACCTCGGGTAAACGAAACCGGAGAAACGGAGGCCAGGAATCGGATGGATCCTGTAGGCACCTCGAAAAAACGGGCCCTTCGATACAAAATTTCAACAAAACATCGGACTTTCGGACTATATTTACCTCGCTGGCGCCGTTTTTTTGAACTCCACGCAAAAAGTGTATGAAAAAGTGGGGAATCGCAAACGTCCTATTTTGGTTTTGGTCCGTTTCAGGGTTTTTGAGAGTGTCAAAGATACACTCCAACATTGAATTTAAAAAAAATTGCAAATATTATGTTGCAGGCAAGAATTCCCTCGAAATGAGGTTCCTTTCTAAATAATAATAGGATGAATTATGACTATTGTAATGGTAAAATGAAACTGTAAAAAAATTTACCTAAGCGCAGGTGTGCAGATTTTTGCCAAAGCAGCCCAACCGTGCTTTACCTTTGTAGCTTCTAGAAATTGCAAAGAAAATTTGCATCTGTTCCAACAAATTGCAACTTGTGAGTTTACTAAATTTTAAATTTGGAATTAAATAGTTTCCCCCAATTGACGCACAGGCCACAGTGTAAAGTGTTGGTTATGGACACTACCGTTTTCATTTTCCGAATCTTCCCATTCTTATTAATGAAGTAAATTTTTTGTTTAGGTAATAAAATTGCTTTTATAAAAAACAGAAGCAAAATTTACAGGCCAACCATTTTCAGGATTTTTGAAAAACGCTGGCACATATGCCAGAAAGACTTTCTTTAAACCCCTACAGTTATGACCGCCACCATATATCTTAATAAAACATTTGAAGTAACCACAATTTTCATTTAATTAGTAAAATTTACACTTTATGTAAACAAAATGGGTAAACAATTAACGTTATCAGTAAATAAGCATAAATTACGTTTATGGTGTCATAAGTATCTAATAGGTATGTACTGTAGTTGCTGTAACTATAACGTACTGTTACATAGTTATACCTACTCTTTGATAGTAACAATAAAAATTAAGAGTTTTGGAGCGATTTCTAGTGAATGATCTCTTAGCTTATAACACAATCAGATCGGCACAACGCATTTCGGACCTACTATATCAATTAAGATGTTGAACATCTTACTGCCTGTAAACTATAATTTCGAAGTCACTCGTATTTTATTTTAACGCTTTCATATCACTATCTGGTAGCAGCATCGCTAGGAACGCGCTAACTAAAACCATAGATTTTTGTTACAGTTAAACTCGTAGAATAGTTTTCTTCTTAACTTACCTAAAATGATCCCTCCGATTGTTAGGAAGGGGTATAGGCACCCAATACCCAGCAGGGCCGGAAATATTATGTTCCCCACGGAGGAACCAAATCTTCCAAATGCCATTGCGGAAGCAACAGCCATGGCTCTTGAATAATGTTTAAGTATAAATAAAATAAAGGACGCGCTATAGGTACCTTAAGGTGGTTGGAAACAAGTCGACAATGGAACTCAACAAGGTGTTGAAGGCGACGTAGTTGAATCCTATGTGAATAGACGACAACGTTAATGTTACCGTAATGTGGTTTCCATAATAAGCTATGATTATAAGGCACAGTCCGGATCCGAGAGCGCTACCACCTGGAATAATATCTACTGTAAATGCTGCGATTTACCAACCTGATATACTCTGTACACAAAACGATCTTTTTTCCAAGCAATCTAACCATAGGTAAACTAAGTAGTAGGATGACGATAGCTACGGCTCCACAAATGGCATTGTTCGCATATACCTCGGAATTATTGTAGTTCTGAAAAAGCACAATTTATGACACACTCACACGGAATGAGATGAATTAGTCTTACAACAGAGCAAGTTCCATTACTTCTTGTTGAGTTAGGAATTAAGGTTTGTAGAGTACGACATAAATCGAAACCTTCTTTCTTTGCAACCTCACTACGATCATTGATCGCTGCAAATAACTGTGGTAGCCATAATCTCAACGTGTTGTTTCTGTTAAGGCACTCGAGTAAGAGATCACATATTTGACAAACATACTTCATATAATTAGAATGTGCGTTTAGAGTTAAAGCTCATATACCTGCTAACTTACCCCATTAGGAGTCCAAACTGAATAATCACAACCATAATTAAATTTATGCAATTTGGGCGATAAAATATTGCCGCTATTTGTCGAAAACCTTCTTTCAATGCCTGAATGTTGCTGCGCTGTGAAGTAACATGTCCAAGTTTTTCATTTCCTTGCAGTTTCGGTTCATCTACCAGAGCTTTTATCTGCAACATTTTCATACTTAAATAATAGGATCTTTTGAGTCGTGAAAATGTTTTTTCGCGTCGGTCCCAAAGTTGACCTCGGACCTCGGGAGGAAATTGTAAATACCTTTACTCGCTTGATATGTACAGCCGCTGATAAGTGTGAAAACGGTGGATTATCGGGAAAAATATACAAGACATCGAATAAAGTTTTGGGGTTTTTCAATTTCTACTAGACAGTAATAATTTTGATTATACAGGGTTGTTCATGAAGGCGTGACACACCAAAAATGCATATTTGATTGAACGCCCTGTATATTATTCGATAGGTATTTCAATTCTTCTCTCAATTTTCCACGAAATGTAGAAGCTAGTGTAGAAGAGTTTAGAAAATACACATACAAAAATTAACAGTTTTCACACGATTTTGTTACTTGAGGAATCCATTAACTCCGAAAAAAAGGCAACCGAGTCAGTTAACAAATATACTTATCAAAAGTTCGAAACGCAGAAGAAGTTAAACAACAGATTGAGGTTTAAAAATTGACGAAAAAATCAATATATTTATACTTTTTTTTAGCTAACATAACAACAATACTTCAATCAAACAATAATAAATTTATAAAAGGTGAAACTTTTCCTCCATGAGCACCGAAGGAGGTAAAGTGCCCATAATGGTAGGTACCTCCGTGAAAATCCTAATTCATGGATAAACGAACGTCCTCGGGATCAAACGGAAGTGAAATGCTTCAGATGTAGTCATTTCGGAAACATTGGACATTGTCCAAAATATGAAGCCGATGCAAATAGATCGGCAAATCAAAGAAGAAAAACGCAAAATAAAAGTTAATTGTATGCCGAACGGAATACTACTCCAAGAACGAACGAGATCAATGAATTTTAGATAGAGGCTCAACTAACCACCCTATATGTTCCAAAATCAACGAATAATTTAATATCCGTGTCCAAGTTGTGATTACGGAACCACAGTCAACTTTGACGACGATACAGTTATGGTAAAACACGAAGCAAACGAAATCATAGTCCAAGGCAAACGTGATCATGATGTGTTAGAAGCGGAACGATTGGCTCGAGCAGATATGGCACCATGCCAAAGGAACGAATGGCACACAAGGCATCCAGATAAAAACGAAACAAGAAAATTCGCAAATGTATACAATCTCAAGCGAAACGTATAATATATACAATATTAAAAACAACAAATTCCCATGGACAACGGAAAATAGAACAAAAAATTGTTTATATCTGGTATGTACCTAGTGATGTAATCTTAGCAATAATTCCATTATTGAAGAGGAGGAAGGAGTGAAGAGTAAAGTTTAAAGTAAATTTGTTGTCTACCAAAAGAAGGTCGAACGGATGATTGGTAGGAAAATTAAAGAATTGAGAAGCATTAATCGAAGCGGATATTTAAACAGGGATTTCGATAATTACCTACGAATACAAGGTATCGAAAGGGAGCTGACCACGCCGTATACGCCACGGCAAATTGGAGTAGCAGAACCGCAGAATCAAACACTTTTAAATACAACAAGATGCCTAATGAAGGAATCGGGAACCTACGACGATTTGGCGCGTGAAGCAATCTTGACCGATAATTACATTCGAATCCGAATGACAACCACGAGTCACAGAGGAAAGACGCCCATACGAAATATGGAGTAACAGGATAGAATGAGAACTTTTGGGCAAATGTTGGTTCAAAATCATCCGAGACAAAGGAGGGGATTTTCATGGAATAGGTATGAACCCTATTCCAAAGCTTGTCGGATATGGGATCCAATACAATAATATGTGAAGGAAGACAACGATGACCATCAAAACCACAATGACATAACGTGGAATGGTTTTATCGATCCATGCATAGACGACGAAGAGGATAGTATGAACGGTTCGAATGAGGAAAATAAGGAAAACAATAACGGAGACAAACGAGAGAAATACGAAAACGAACAAGAAAGCGGCGAGGAAGAATCAGATGCAGAAGAGAGCGAGCACGATACGATTTAGAAAGCCCAAAGTTTGCGAAGTGTGTTTGACATAAATTCTGACGACAGACTGTATCTCGGATACAGTATCTCGCACACAGGATCACCGTGTAAAAGAGCTCCTAGAGAGAAGATTTTACCTTTGTTTTTAGCGCATTTCCACAAAAATAAAAAAATGCGCTAGTGTGGGCACTTTGTCAGTCCGTCCGTCCGCTCGTTCTATGAGACGCTACTAGTTCTTTATCTTAAGAGCTATAATAATAATAATAATAATAATACAAAAACACATACAAACATTTACAAAAAGCAGTCATTATCAACACATGCCATATTGTTCGTAAATTTCTAAACATAACACAAGATACTACATACACAAATGATCCACAACGTATACATGTAAACAACAGTACTCGCTCACAACACGGTACACAACATACTGTAATATCTCAACCTCTAACCCAAACAAACACACAAATACAACTTACCGAACAAACAAGTACAACAAATGATACAACATATACTACAATCAGAGATTCACCTCTGAAGCAAACCACATTATCACGACCCATTAGTATTCAACCCAAACGCAAAAGCCTAAACAGCAGTTTAGACTCACAACATGACACACAACATACTGTAATATCTCCACCCTTAACTCAACCAACCACACAAACACAACTTCCTGAACAAACAAACGCAATAAATACAAGTAACGCAACATGCACTACAAAGACGCCCTCACCCAATAAAGTTATACGGCCTAGCACAGCTAAAAAACACAATACTCTTTCTTCTCAGAAACACACCACGTTATCACAACCCACTCGTATTCAACCCAAACGCAAAAACCTTAACAGCACTACTAGCTCACAAAATACTGTAATATCTCCACCAAAAACCCAAGCAACCTCACAAATACAACCTCAAGAACAAAGAAACACCATAAATACAAGTAAGACAACATGCACCACAAAGACAGGTCCACCCAATAAAATTACATGTCCTAGCACAGTTAAAAAACACAAAACTCCTTCTTCACAGAAGCACACCACGTTATCACAACCCACTCGTACTCAACCCAAACGCAACAACCTTAACAGCACTACGGGCTCACAAAATACTGTAATGTCTCCACCAATAACCCAAGCAACCACACAAATACAACCTCAAGAACAAAGAAACACAACAAATACAAGTAACGCAACATGCACTACAAAGACAGATCCACCCAATACAGTTACACGCCCTAGCATAGTTAAAAAACACAATACACCTTCTTCTCAGAAACAATCCACTCGTATACAACCGAAGCGCAAAAACCTTAACAGCACCACACAAAATACTGCAATATCTCCACCAAAAACCCAAGCAACCACACAAATACAACCTCAAGAACAAAGAAACACCATAAATACAAGTAAGGCAACATGCACCACAAAGACAGGTCCACCCAATAAAATTACACGTCCTACCACAGCTAAAAAACACAAAACTCCTTCTTCACAGAAACAAACCACGTTATCACAACCCACTCGTATTCAACCCAAACGCAAAGCCAAAGAAACACTTACACAATAAACTCCATTTAATAAAATTACAGGAATTATTATAATGATTTTGTTTGTTTGTTTTGTTTTCCTCTTTCCTGATAGCGTTGGCTATTGTGCCCATCAATAGCTATGTTGGTAAGTATGAAATACATACTATCTCTAGATTTCCAATGTGAGGGTGTGAATTTGTATGTTATTTATTTATTTCTTTTATTTTTTTAGGACCCTACATAACTTCACCAGACACAGACACAGACACTAATCGTTACTTGATTTTAATCCGTGCGATTAGTTAACCAGGCTAGACCTGAGTTCTCACAAGATACACCGACCATAATAATAATGACTTTTATTAGCTACTCACAACTGAATACATGCATACGATACAAAAGAAAAACAAATTCGGTATGCTAGGTAGCTAATTGGGCGAAGTTCGACTGCAGTATCAACAGAAACTGCATTCGCTCTTCCACTTAACCCATTTCCCAAATATACATATAATGTTAGAAACGAAAGACTATATGGCTTCTAAATAAAACAATATAAATTGGTGTGCATGGTTGCGGCACAACTTAAGAAAGATAGATGAATGCTGAGCTGACAAAGCGAGTTAATGAATGTGTGATTCGATATGAGGACTGAGAACTTGCTCATATAAAAAAGACCAAATTGACAACGAGTTTATTGCAACTGACGATCAAGTAAGAATAGTTGGACATACTTTTTAAATCTTTTACACGAGTCCGGCAAGGAGTTGTAAAGTTTCGCTATGTTGTAGCTAAAACAGCGCTCATAGAGTGATGATTTATGCAATGGAGGGGTGATAAACGCAGCGTACCTACTATTTGAGCTCAGTCCGACCTTCTCATAGAGGTACCGTGGAGTCTTCCTAGAGATTATTTTATGATATAAGTTAGCAGAGTGACCGAATCTCCTATTCTCCATATTCAGCCATTTTATCTCATGTAATTTATGAGAGATTCGATCATACTTCCTAACACCATAAATCAGACGCAAACACGATTTTTTTCATTTTTTGTATCCTGTACTTATCGGCTGCGTCCAAACAAGGTCCGTACAATGCATCACAATAATTAAACTGGGAAAGGACGAGCGATTCGCACAAAATACTTTTTATCTGCTGACTGATGCAGCGCCTGTTACGAAAAATTAATTTCAGATTTAAAAAAGCTTTCTTTATCATCTCTGACACCTGTTTTTTAAATCTAAGGTCAGAATCCATTATCACACCAAGGTTTTTTGCGCAACTTTGAATTGGTAAGGTTGAGTCCTTTACACGTATTCGCACTGAATCTTTGAGTCGTTCCCTTGCCTTTCTCTTCCCAAACAACATAGCCGATGATTTTATAGTATTAATGTGCAAGCCATGATCCTCGGACGTTTGAACTATTCTGCATATATCACTATTCATGAATTCAACCGCTTGTTCGATATTACATTCGAGAAAGTCGTAGTGCAATTGGGTATCATCTGCGTATTGGTGAAATTTAGCATGCTTTAAACAATTGCCGAGATTTGAGGTGTACAATAAAAATAGCAATGGACCTAATATGGACCCTTGGGGAACTCCACAGCATATGGGAAGAGCAGTAGACCGGTTGCTATTAAGTGTTACTCTTTGGGTTCTACCTTTAAGGTAATTAGTCATAAATGTACATGCATTAGTACTAAAGCCAACGTAATGTAGCAAACTTAGTAAGATGCCATGGTTGATCATGTCGAAGGCCTTTGAAAAATCGAGCATTACTAAAATTGATAGTTTGTTAGCATCCGTCGCAGCGAAAATATCATCAGTGAGATTTAACAGGGCAGTCGTACAACTATATCCACTTCTGAACCCAGACTGCGTTTTTGGCAAGATACAATACTTATCAACGTGACGTTGCATCTGATTAGCTACCACCTTTTCCAATACCTTCGACAGTACGGGGAGTATACTGATGGGGCGCAAGTCATTAATATTTTGAGGGTTGTTTCTAAGCTATTGTTCTACTTTTTTCGCTATTTGGTTCGTTATGGTGTCGAGGCTTGCATCAAGGAAGGAATTTTTTCTGTGTTTATTGCTAAAAAAGTTATTGTAAAAAAACCAACAAACCGTTTTTTACATGTTCCATAATTTTATACTTTTGCCGTTTATTAACGATCGTAGAGATCGTTTATAATTTTGTATTGCTGTCTGTCGTCTGTCTGTTGATCTGTCCGTCTGTTCCTTTGTCTGTCTGTCCCTTTATCTGTCCGTGTGAACGATAACTTTATTTAAAAATGACCGAGCGCTTTTACATCTCCGTTAGTTGTTAACTGAATTGCATGAAATTCAATATGGTCATAGCTTTAGCCATATAATACGCAATGCCAAAAGTTGAGTCAAATCGATTCAAAATTCACAGTGCCCTTTTCGCATCTCGACCATTTATAAACCGGAATTGCAAGCTTTTTTATTTATAAAAGTATTTGAATGAAATTTGATACATAGGCACTTGGAATAAATGAAAATCTACCGCCAATTTCAAAATTTGGTTTTGAGCATGCGCAGCGTCAACTTTTTTATTTATGGAAGCATTTAAACGAAATTTGATACATAGGTGCTTGGAATAAAGGAAAATCTAGCGCCAATATCCAAATTTTATTTTGCGCATGCGCAGTGGCAACTTTTTTATCTATGGAAGCATTTAAGTGAAATTTGATACTTAGGCGCTTGGAACAAAGGAAAATCTAACATTAGTTTCAAAATTTAGGTTTGCGCATGCGCAGTTCCAACTTTCTTATTTAGAAAAGCATTGAAATGAAATTCTTCTTATAAACTGAAATTGAAGTAGCACGTCAAAATTGGATTGCCCATGTGCAACGCTATTTTTCATATCTATGGCCGGATTTTTACAATTTTAACAGAAGTTGCATCTTACAAAATAATGGGAAATGAATGCAAGTGGAAATGCGCTTTATGTAAATCGTTTACGATTACTTTTTACGTGTTTTCAATGTATGCTATATTTTATTATAGTTAATGCGTTTGTAGTATCAAATTAAGACTAATTATAATAAGGTTCTGGTCGAACGAATAAAAATAACAGTTTAAACTGTACATGTCGAACTCTTACCGCCCAACCAGCCTAAACTAGTAGCCTGTTTCATAGGAAATTTTAAAGCCGCATTTAAATTTAAAGTTCCCTTTTAGTTAAAATTGGGCTTCATAACGTTAGAGCTGACTTTAAATTTCTTTAAAAGCTCCTTTAAGTTAAAGGACCGTTAACGCCCTAAAGGAAACATTAAGTTCAACATAAATTGTAAACAGAAAAAAAGACGTAATCTCAAAATGTCAAAATTCAAAACTGTACCCGTAATGAATACTGAAGTTGGCACGTGTTTCTCCGTTATCTTAAAGGTTATTACAAACGGAAGGCCACATTCGAAATCTTCATTAAAGGTGTCGGAATAATGTGTTAATTACAAATGTCTAGCACGATTAGCTTACCATGAAAAAATTAAAAACGAAAATCAGAAATTTTCGTTTTTTTGCGATATCTTCAAAACTATTGAAGATATTTTAAATTTTTTTCAGATTATTATTCAACACGAAAATAAGCGAGAAGCATTCGAAAAATGGACACCGTGTATATATATAATAGAGGACCAAATGGTGGGAGACGAAATGGCATGGGGAAGAAATGATCTAACTTTCGTAATTCGGGTTTATGGAATTATGGAGGCAACACGTAATCTGTCATTTAATCATCATCTGAAAATGTTATTAATTACGAAAAACTTGCTAAAATTGGATGCCTTGCGTGGCATTTCAGACCAAAACAATAGAATGGGAAGCTTATTCCATCACCTTTGGCATTCGCGTTTCTAAATAAGAGTGTGATTTATTAATACATTTATTATTTTTTTATAGTTAGTCCCTCCGTTTGCGATTTGCAGATTGATTTAGTATAATGCAACGCGTTATGGTTGTGAATATGTTCACGACGGAACTCCTTAATTCTATTTCAATTACACTTACCGGATACTCGCCCTTTGTGCTACCATTATTGCACTTGTACATTTTGTTAAAGGTCTTTAGAGCCTCGTCGTTTTTTCCAACAGTCATTAGAAATTTGGGACTTTCTGGTAAAAGTATATACAGGAATCCAGCCATCAAACTGGGAATTGCAGTGGCGAGAATAAATAGATTCCAAGACCTTAAAACTACAACCCCTTTCGTAATAATAATAATAATAATATGACTCACCTATGAAGCCGCCGAAAGTTGATATGTTGATTGAATCTGTGAATATTATCCATGCCATGAGTGGTAAAACTACTGCACCACTATTAACAAAGATTCCGTTAAATAAGGGAATAAAAGGGCGAAATTTGGCCGAATTGAATTCACTGGTGTACGCTATTACTGCTGCAAAACCTCCATTTTCACTAAAATTTCGAGAAAAAAAAAGAATTACTTGCAGCACAAGCCTGTTATGATACAAAAAAGTCCCGCTGCGCTGTTAGAAACGGTTAAGTTCTAAAATGGTTGCCAAACGGCATTCTAAAAAATGTTCCTACTTGAATTGTGATTCTACTTTATTTAGTTTATAAATAAATTGACGTTGTACCTAAGTGTGTAGATTCAATTTTTATTCCCATTCCCGTGGCCGCCACCAAAATGAAAAGGGAGCTTTTATTCGCATAAGCTTCATATTTAGAAGGTTCCAATAACCCTAGCAGTCAATCAAGGTAGCGTTTACAGACATTCTTTAGTGTTTTCAAATAGGTAGGTACTTTTAATAATCGATTAGAATAGTTCCAGGTTTTGCCATTAATAAGATTGCGAATTACTGTATAAATAGATAACACGTTCAAGTTAGGTTTGTAAGTATTTCGTACGAGTATACTAGAATTTAGGCTTGAAAACTGAAAAGTATTTCGATTCATTTAGGAGTTTGCGAACACATGGTGGGCTTGAATTAGTTTTCAGAAATTATTAGCAATCATAGTGGCGTTTGGCATTAATTTTTCTATTTGGATTAAAAATGTAATAATTATTAAATCTTTTGTTTAGTTTATAGGTTGGCCTTAATTATATCCACTGATGCTCTATTATATAATGAAAATAATTGGGTATACTTATTTAATTAATGAACAATAGGAAGAAACATAAATAGCATCCATTTGTCAGTAGGTAGGTATAGCCATTGTATTTCCTCTATGGTACCTATAGCTAAATTAAAAAAAAAAGTTTTTTACTAAAAAGGTTGTTACTTTGAGCAAAATCGCTCACCAACCGAAAACTACACATTCCGTCCTTCAGAAGACCTTAATTGCTCCATTTTTAGTTTTTCTGGCCCATATTGTTAGACCTTGTGTCAGTTAGTGCTATATTGCACTACCTCCAACAACATGTGGGAATTTATAGTAATAGATGATTTATTAAGCTTTTATCGGTTATAGAAACGGGAAATCAGCATGTCAGTTAACTACATGGCCATGTGTACCAAAGTTGTTAGGACGCGAGAACTATCAATGGGGATTGGGTGTTTCATGGTGGTCGAAGGGCTTTCTAAGACACTCGATGATACGGACACTACCACTGAAAATGTAGCTAAGGCTAAGGCCAAATTGGTGCTCACATTGGATGCTCGCTTATTTACGTGCACATAAAAGAAGCAGCTGTGGGACAAACTTAAAATTATGTATGCAGATATTGGTTTTACAAGGAAAATACAGGGTGTTTTTTTTAAGACGACAATGTAAAGGCGTTGAGTTATTTAAAATGGGCCATAGGGAAATTTACATTGCATCAATTGTTTCAGTCATAGCTTCCTCGCGAATCATCTGCCACAGTACTGTAGAAATTGTTTCTCAATCAACAAATTTATTTAAATCAGATATAAACGTATAAGATTACAAACGGTGCTCGAATTGTTTTCCACCGGCAACCAAACAATACCCGATACTCGGCACTGAATAGCTTGCATGCCACTTAGCTACTGTGCTCATTCTTCTACAAATTGTACTACATGAAAACCATTTCCAGCGGCGGAATACATGTTGCTGCTTCGTTGATGCAGTTTGAAGGATTGAGATCGAGAACTGTCAGTGAAATAACTAAGCGCAAGGCCTAGATTTGAGAACAATTTGCGCAATGTAAATTTTCCTATGGCCCATTTTAAATAACTCAACGCCTTTATATTGCGATATGATAGGTGTGTATTTTCTATGGTCCATTTTTAAAAAAACACCCTGTATATAATTGTTAAAGAACCTTATCTCCCTACAGATAGAAAATTACGAGTTTATGGAATCTGTTAATCATCGTGTTTCTGATGCAAGAAACATGAGCATTACATGAACAAGAGTCCTAATAAACATTCTGGTAGTGCTTCGAGTTCAGTGCAGTCTTTATGAACGGGCACGTACATGATTCGGACTGGTTTATTGACTTCGGGGCGAGTTTACACCTGACTGCTCATAAGGACTGACTTGAATAGAGTTCTTTAAAAAAACTTGGGGAGGGAATTCTGGGTGGAAGCCCCATATGCAGTAGTCTGTCGGAACAGAAGGCGTTGTTAAAGGTTTAAACAATAGAACGCCATATGAAATGGGAACACATAAACAACCATTCTGCGTAAAAATATCTAAAAGAAATAGTTTTTACTTTCTTACATGAGTTGGAAAATCGATAACATCCCAAAAAAGTCAAATTTTGGATTTTACCCTACGAAACAAACGTAGCTAGACTGATTCTGTTTGTGGTATTAAAAGTTTCACAAAAAAATGGTAGAGTAGCGAAAACCGCAAACCTTTATGTTTAAAAACGGCTGAGATACACCGCAGACTCAACCGAAATGGGACACACGGTACACAGTAAATTTGGCGAAACTTGTAGTCTAACATAAACTTGCAGTTGGATTCATTCTTCGAATTTTCAAAACATAACTCTGTATTCTTTATTTTCATTTTCAAAGCCACTCAGGTACCTACCCAATCTTTTTCGTACCTCTCTTCAGGGGTGTGCCCCCGAGGGGTAGGAATTTTTGAAAATTTGGGTTGGCAAGCAACTGGACTGGATCTTCAGTGTCGCATTTTTATTAGTTGACAGTTTTTCTCGTTTAATTGTCAAACTAGTCATATGGGAACGGATAATGCGATAACTGGTTAGAAAATGAATAGGTGAAAAACCACTATACTGCATTCATTATAAGAAGGTAGTAGGCTGTGTTTGAAGATAGACAAACACAGGGAAAATATAAAACGGCACCAAATTATTGTAAAGTAGAAATATTCAGCACTGCGAACAGAAATAAATCTTTGACAGTAACAGCTAATGACACTTTACAAAATTCACTCAAAAGCGTGATAAAATCGATTTTATCTTATGCTTTTGATCGAGAGTTTTTGCAAGGAGGCAATAAAATTTCAGTGAACTAAAAATAAAATTATCCTGATTTAAAACCAAAATCGAGTGTATTTTAGGTAATACAAGACAGTAAATTTCACAACCACCAGAGCTGGGTACTGCTCGTGACCGTTTCGTTCGAAAAAGCGCCCCAAGCGGAAAAAGCGATCCGCTCGCAAGCACTCATCGGAGCTGCCGCTTGGTGCTCGATCCCGAGCGTTTACTTAGTGTACTCAGCGCTCGAGCGGTTTTTCGCTCGCTCGTGGTTTTTTCCGCTCCTGAGCGTTTTTTTCACTCGTGAGCGCTTTTAATCGCCCTCAAGCGCTGGAGGATTAAGCGCCGCTCGCGAGCGTTTTTTCCGCTCACGAGCATGTTTCCCGAGCGCTCGCGATAAACCGCTCGGACACTTTTAGGAGTGCTCGGAACTCGCAAGCTGTTTCGCTTTGCAAAACAACTCGATGCTCGCGAGCATTTTTGAGAAAATTAGAGCACTCGTCGCTCGAGCGGTTTTTTAAAACGCTTGACCCAGCTCTGATAACCACTATATTTTACGAATTCCTACAAGCTTTTTAATCGCTGATAAAAAGCTACCTCTGCTTTTAATCACTTAAAAAATTGTCTGATTGGTTAGAATTTGAAACAATCAACGAGTTGATTGGTCGAATATTAATGGAGTGTACTAATCGCTGTAAAAGTTGCAGGTAACTTTTGCCGCAGTCACAGTGACAATCCATATTTCAATTCATTTTGACATAACTTATGTACAAATTATTATGTACCTCATGGGCGATGTGTCCGTTCCTGGACAACGGATATTAAGCAAACACATTATGTATTATATAAAGTCATATAGGTAGATACTTACATGAACCCTTCAAAGAACTTCACAATCGTTAAGTAAGTGAAACTTTTTGAGAAAGCACACATAATTACAACAAATCCATCGAATATAAATGCGTAGATCATTAGTTTCTTCCTGCCTAACGTATCAGTCAAAAATCCCGATAAAAATCCACTGGACAACATCCCTACGCATAAAATAAGCAAAATTTATTCACCTGCGGGCGATATATTTCAATCTCACCAAAGTAAGTTATGGAGTTCAACATTCCCTTGTTGTCCAATGTTAAGTTTAAGTCGCATTGCGCTATCGGAAACACGTAAGACATTGTAGAAGTGCTAAATGAGGTAGCAAACGCTGATGGAATTAATGTTAAAATAAGCATTACATTATACTTCCCAAAACCAACTTCTGTAATGGCCTTCTCGTAATGGGCGGGCTTCTCTTGACCTAAAGTATGTCATACTTCCATTTAGGTGTCCACAATTAGATTAAGTTACTTACTGTCCTGATGAGCACCGTCTGTGTTCCAAATTGTAGACACTGGTGTCCCATCTCCAATTTTATTTAGAATAATATTCTCCACCATTTCTACTCGGCGCAACTAACTATTATGTTAATTTAGATATTTTAGTGTAACAGGTCGAAAGAAACTAAGAATTATTTAGTTTTATTTAAAATAAGGATAAACACCTAGTCAATGGATAAGAGATGGTGCACATTTTAATTCAAAAGTAAACTGCAACAAATTGATAAGTTATACTAGTAGACGTGATGTCATTGCTTTGTTGTAGTGGGGAACGAAAACCACAAATAGGGTAAATAGAAAATTTTAATGTATAATTGAACACTTACATGTTTTATACAAATCAAGTGTGACGAACACCGCAGTAGTGATGGAAAGAAATAATCGATATTAGTGTTAAGATCACGTGAATCTCCTTATAAGCAGGGTTCATTAGTTTGAGCATTATATACGTATAATATAGAACTAAATTACCGAAAATTTCACGTGTGAAATACGGCAATTAAACAGAATGGTTGTGGTAACTGTTTTGGATAATATGCTTTGCCTCACGGTCAGCGGTCAGCCAGGTACCACACGCGATATCAGTAAAACTGAGCAACAAACTAATGACCAGTTACACAATCAAACAAGAGCACACTTTTCTGACGCAAAAAAACCATCTGTTGTGTTAGTACTGCATAGGTAAACAGAATTTGTTTTAATTCAGTTCCCACGTTTTCACGAAAATCTTTGTACCACTACTTGTAATCATATCTACTTCTTTATGTAAATGCAGATCTTTAACCTTCGGCATAGTGTAAGTAATTCTATTCTTTACAACTATGCCTTCCGTTCGTTTTATATACAGTAAACGTCAATAACATGATACACAACCATTTGCAAATTTAATTAACTACAAGAGCTAGATACTGGAGAGCCTTACTCTAAAAACACTGGTATACTGTAACGGGCCACGGTTCAGAAGTCTCATACATCGGAAAATACTTTCTCAAGCAATGACGTAGAAAATTAGAAAAAAATACTTCACATGAGCAAAATTCAACAAACGAATTTATAATCAAATGGAAAATTTTTATACGGAATATCTTAAAATAAACCATAACCACTTTCTAACAAACCTAACGCATCTGTAAAAATTTAATCGCCCAAATTCCAACAAATTGAATTTTGAAAACACTCTCTTTAAGTTACTTTAACTTAAGTTTATGAAATAAAATCCAGTAAAATCCCCCGTTTCTATAACATATTGTTTTGCCCTTAAAGAACATGTCCGAAAACAGCTAAATATACCAAATATATATTTAAATGGTTTGTTATTTAAGCTATGGAAATGTCCACCCAAAATTTCTCCGAATACAGTTTAATGTGAACGTTTCCACCCCGCTTTGTAACTAACCCAAGGTAATGTTTTCGACGGAACTTCCTGAAATTATTCAAATGTCTTGTCGATTGAACCTTTTGGGTATATTAATTTTCAATTACGTAATAAAGACCGCGATGATGCACATTAACAATCTTGAAAATTTCCCCGATTTCACTCGAATCACGTGGGATACCTATTCGAATGGTAAATGTAGGGAAACACGTTTCTCACGAAAGTTTATTATTTTCCGATAATGGATAAGAATATTTAATAAAAAATTAGGTTTTCTAATTGAAAAAATTAGTTGCTCTACACTTTGCATCATTAAATTGGCCCCTCAATATGAAGAATCGGTAAATATGTAAATAATTAATAGAAGCATATCATTGAAGGAGTTCGGGAAACTTTCCATTTTTTTCATAATTTTGTATAAACTAATTAAATTTTGTGTACATTTTTGCGGGGGCCCTTTTAGTTGGGGCCCGTCCTCATTGCGTACCTTTGTGGCATTTTAGTTACGCCACTGAAGTATCCATAATATACCGACAGTTTAAATACAACAAGTTAAAAAGTAATCGTAAACGATTTACATAAAGCGCATTTCCACCTGCATTCATTTCCCATTTTTAAGATGCAACTTCTGTTAAAATCGTAAAAATCCGGCCACAAATATGAAAGATAGCGTTGCACATGGGCAATCCATTTTTGACGTGCTACTTCAATTTCAGTTTATGAGAAGAAATTCATTTCAATGCTTTTCTAAATAAGAAAGTTGGAACTGCGCATGCGCAAACCTAAATTTTAAAACTAATGTTAGATTTTCCTTTGTTCCAAGCGCCTAAGTATCAAATTTCACTTAAATAGTTCCATAGATAAAAAAAGTTGGCACTGCGCATGTGCAAAATAAAATTTTGAAACTAGCGCTAGATTTTCCTTTATTCCAAGTGCCTATGTATCACATTTCATTTAAATTCTTCCATAAATAAAAAAGTTGGCACTGCACATGCGCAAAGCCAAATTTTGAAACTGGCGTTTGATTTTCCTTTATCCCAAGTGCCTATGTATCAAATTTCGTTTAAATTCTTCCATAAATAAAAAAGTTGGCACTGCGCATGCGCAAAACCAAATTTTGAAATTGGCGTTTGATTTTCCTTTATTCCAAGTGCCTATGTATCAAATTTCATTCAAATACTTTTATAAGTAAAAAAAGTTTGCAATTCGGTTTATAAATGGTCGAGATGCGAAAAGGGCACTGTGAATTTTGAATCGATTCGATTCAACTTTTGGCATTGCGTATTATATGGCTAAAGCTATGCCCATATTGAATTTCATGCAATTCAGTTCATAACTAACGGAGATGTAAAAGCGATCGAACATTTCTAAACAAAGTTATCGTTCACACGGACAGATAGATGGACAGACAGACAAAGGAACAGACGAAGAGACCAACCGGCAGGCGACAAATAGCAATGCAAAATTATAAACGATCTCTAGGATCGTTAATAAACGGCAACAGTGTAAAATTATGGAACATGTAAAAAACGTTTTTTTGTTTTTTTTGCAATAACTTTTTTTGTAAGCGGTACAGAAAAAATTCCTTCCTTGGTACAAGACTCGACACCATAACGAACCAAATAGCGAAAAAAGTTGAACAATAGCTCTTAAGATAAAGAACTAGTAGCGTCGCAAAACGAGCGGACGGACGGACGGACAAAGTGGCCACAATAGCGCATTTTTTTTAAATTTTTGTGGAAATGCGCTAAAAATCTGTTCCGAAAGAAGTGAAGAATTACTACGCATATCTGGTCACCTACAGAAATTTAATTTTCATTCTCTCATTCATTATCATTTTAATTTACGACCTTGTACCTAATTGTTATTAATTTTGTTGTGCATCACCTGTGTTTAATTTGATGCGGGATTTCCAATGAAGATCAGACACGTTTATGCGTTGATGACACAGAAATCACTTGGAAAAATATATTTCTCAATCATGTTGACAATGTTTATAACTAGAAGTATTAATTATAAAAAGCTCTTCAGTTAATTTTAAAAGGTAACCTCTTGCATTCTTATCCTTGAGAATGTATGTGTTTACATTTCCAGCTCCAATTCTGATTTTGTTTGGCTTACGTTCTGTTGAGAATCTGAAATTTTTAAATAGCCAGTATGCTCTTTTATACAGGGTGGTGACTTGCGTCACGCATCATAGGGATTTCAATGTAAAATTCATAACATGCGATTATTGGCTCCCCAAATTATTTTAGAGCAAAAACGTATTAAGGTTTTTTGTAGAAAAAAATTTTTTACGTCAATCAACCGTGTTAGTTTTCAATTTTTTGCATAATAAAGACGGAAAATTGGAAAATAAAACCCCCATCTTTTCAATAATCTGTGATGCCATGGAATTTTATAATACAACAACTACGCCAATATCCGTCATGCCATGGAATGTCTGCTATAAAACAAATCAAATTTTATCAAAAAGTATTATATTTAGAACAGCGAATTCAACATAAGGAAAAAATTACTAAAAACGGTTTCCTGATATAACAATTTACAATAAATGTTCGAATAAGTCACCATTAACTGCAATACAGTAACCCAGTCGATCATAAAACCCATGTCGAACTGCTGCTGGATAAGTATCTTTTTGTTTTAGAAAATTCCATGACATCGCAGATTATTGAGAAAGATGCGGGTTTTATTTTTCCAATTCTCCGTCTTTACATGAAAAAAATTGAAAACTAATACGGTTGATTGGTGTAAACAAATTTTTTCTACAAAAAATCTTAATACATTTTTGCTCTAAAATAATTTGGGGAGCCAATAATCGCATGTTATGATACTCTAGAATTTGCACGACAGCCAAGGAGTTTAAATGAAATTGATCGTTGGAAGGCGACAGAGTTTCGACAATTTCTGCTGTATACGGGGCCAATTGTAATGAATAATATATTGTCTGTGAAAACCTATAGACACTTTATGTGTTTAAGTGTAGCTATTAGAATATTGTGTGATGGTAATTCTGATACTGACTTGATAGATTATGCACATAACTTGCTTCTATATTTTGTACGAAAATATTACATTGAAATCCCTATGATGCGTTACGCAAGTCACCACCCTGTATAAGAAAAGCGAATTCGTCCCAAGAACGACTTTATTTAACTAAGTAGCGCAAGCGTGTAAAAGCATTTATCTACCCTTTATAAAGAGAAGACCACCCATTTAAACATCAAAGTCCAAAATTTTAGAAAAGTTTCGAATCTTGAAATTAAAATTACATTTTGTAACATTCATCAACTCAAACGAACGGAAACAAGCTTGAAGTAGATTTAGTTTCTTAGAATCATCTTTTAAAAAGAGTTACGTGAACTTTGCCTTTTTTTTACAAACACGGTAAGCTCCGGCAAAGTAGAGATGGGTCAGGGTGGTTAAGGGGTTTTCTTCTAACGGATAGACAAAACAAAGCAAAAATACATAAGTTAACCGGATAGGCACCACTTAGTCTTATGATAAGAGGAAATACTGACCGAGGAGAACGAGGTAGATTAAGAGATTCTTGTTCAAGTCTTGATAAAGCTGAATGGTGACAGAAGTTGAGAAGGTAACGCATAAACCAAGATTATAGTCATTTGACTGCAGTTCAAAAACGACGTCAATTTAATACAAAAATAATACATGGTAAAATGTGTTAATGTTCGATAACAAATTTAAACTCAACCTAATCTGCCAAAAAAAAAGCAACTCTTGGTTAAAGTCGTCAAAATCTGCGATCAAATAAAATACAAACAAGTTAAAAAGTAATCGTAAACGATTTACATAAAGCGCATTTCCACTTGCATTCATTTCCCATTTGTAAGATGCAACTTCTGTTAAAATCTTAAAAATCCGGCCACAAATATGAAAGATAGCGTTGCACATGGGCAATCCATTTTTGACGTGCTACTTCAATTTCAGTTTATGAGAAGAATTTCATATCAATGCTTTTCTAAATAAGAAAGTTGGAACTGCGCATGCGCAAACCTAAATTTTAAAACTAATTTACTATAACTAACTAATAAACTAAGATTTTCCTTTGTTCCAAGCGCCTAAGTATCAAATTTCACTTAAATGGTGCCATAGATAAAAAAGTTGGCACTGCGCATGCGCAAAGCCAAATTTTGAAACTGGCGTTTGATTTTCCTTTATCCCAAGTGCCTATGTATCAAATTTCGTTTAAATTCTTCCATAAATAAAACAGTTGGCACTGCGCATGCGCAAAACCAAATTTTGAAATTGGCATTTCATTTTCCTTTATTCGAAGTGCCTATGTATCAAATTTCGTTTAAATTCTTCCATAAATAAAAAAGTTGGCACTGCGCATACGCAAAACCAAATTTTGAAACTGGCGTTTGATTTTCCTTTATTCCAAGTGCCTATGTATCAAATTTCATTCAAATACTTTTATAAGAAAAAAAGTTTGCAATTCGGTTTATAAATGGTCGAGATGCGAAAAGGCCACTGTGAATTTTGAATCGATTCGACTCAACTTTTGGCATTGCGTATTATATGGCTAAGGCTATGCCCATATTGAATTTCATGCAATTCAGTTCATAACTATAACGGAGATGTAAAAGCGATCGGACATTTCTAAACAAAATTATCGTTCACACGGACAGATAGAGGGACAGACAGGCAAAGGAACAGACCAACAGACAGACGACAGACAACAATACAAAATTATAAATGATCTCTAGGATGGTTAATAAACGGCAAAAGTGTAAAATTATGGAACATGTAAAAAACGTTTTGTTGGTTTTTTTACAATAACTTTTTTAGCAATAAACGCAGAAAAAATTCCTTCCTTGGTGCAAGCCTCGACACCATAACGAACCAAATAGCGAAAAAAGTAGAACAATAGCTCTTAAGATAAAGCAACTAAAAAAGTAGCGTCGCAAAACGAGCGGACGGACGGACGGACGGACGGACGGACAAAGTGGCCACAATAGCGCATTTTTTTTATTTTTGTGGAAATGCGCTAAAAACCAAAAGAGAGAGAAGGTATGAACAGCACGGCTATAAATTGCGAGAATAAAATTAAGGTTTAACACGTGAAAGAACTTGAATACTAGGGATCACAATCACCACGACAAACAATAAACCGGTAAGTACAACGATACAATGGCCAGTATGAATAAAAGTAAGCAAATGCTTATACTTGCAAAATTCAAAGTAAATACTCGTAAGTGCTCCTTCGCACTAGGCGACTAAGCAGAAGGACAGGACGCAGTGCAGCGCTGCTAAACCATGCTAAACGGACTAGGTAGTATGAAAGGGCAGTTACGAGTATTTACTTTGAATTTTGCAAGTATAAGCATTTGCTTACTTTTATTCATACGGGCCATTATCGAAGTATTCTGAGTATTGCTATCACTTTTTAAAGACGATTTATTCTAGCCTTACAACTTTGATCCATATCAAATTCATATGTCTTTGACATCGATCTCAGTGCAAGAATAAAGATTTTGACATGTTTTGATAAAAATGCATGTGTCTTCAGAAAAAGAAGTTAAAATATTTGAATCAAACACACGCGGATGTCAAATGTGCATGTGATGTACCATTTCGACATCAAGATGCTGCGTAAAACGTTCCCAACCAGCTTGTTGAATTTAAATTTGGTTATCGTTCTCATCGGAAGATTTTCGCCTAAGACTGTGATAATTATGGGAAAGTGGTCACAGATTACAGATTATTTTCCACCTATGCAAGATCCTGAATCGCGGATTTGTTCTGGATTAAGATTCACCAACCATCTATCAAAATTCACTTACACCGAGTAACCAAATTTTTTTCTGTCGCGACAAAAGTCCGATTGTATTGTATTGTATTCCACAATTCAATTTTCCAACTCGCCCCAAAGAAAAAAATCAGCTGTCAATGAGAGAGTACCTTAACTCATCGGTTAATGTAAATTACCTAACTAAATTCTTTATATTGTACCAAAATTGGAACCGACCGTTTTTGGGTTTTTGTAAAGAAGTTGCTCAAGGAGTCGTGTTAGGGGAACCACCGTGAACCAATTTCTTAACGATAAGTAAACCCAAACCAAAGATATTGGTTAAGCAAATTGGAGTTGGAACGATATTATTTCCAACAATATATTTAAACAATTCAGTTTATATGAATGCTTAATTAAGCGTGGTCAAGCCAGAGCATCAGTTTTTAGTTTCCAGATCATATAAGTGATGATAAGGAATCAACCTTCCGCAAAGTAAGAGTCATCAATAACTTATTCATTACTGAGCTAGCCATGGTAGTAGTAATTATGTTATTACAAAAGATTAATTGTTAAGTAAAATTTTTACAGGTGCTGTAGAGAATAACATTTTTTACAAGATGGGGTTCTAACCTCTGTAAATGTAACTATATAGCCCGTTGCATTATAGTAATAGCTTTCATATCGAAACGCGCACGTTTTATTAATGTTTAATTGTGGTGTCGTAAGTGCTTTGTCCCGATCTTTGTTACCTCCACAGCCACAAAAGTTCCAGTATTTACATTTCATTTTTAGGTTTTCATTTCGTTCTAAAAATAGACATTATTGTTATATTAGAACAAGTTTTAATTGTTCTTGGAAAGAAAAATATGTATACATAGTAAACAATCTTTGTAATCACACAACGCGAATTTATTAGTAATAATAAACACGCTGACCTCAAGCAATCATTTGCATGACTATTACGTAGTAGGGCGTTGCATGTTGTATACTAAGCAGATAGTATCATCCGAGGTATATTATCTTCATCAGTCATGGTTTGACCTAACAATTCTTTCTTATACACCCTTAGCTTAATTTCTGTAGTTCTGTAGTTTGTCGAAAATCTTCCTCTGGAAGCAAAATGAACGATGGCTACGTTTAAGCTCCGTGTTGCTCAGAAAGTAGTACTTTAAACTCAATTAAAAGAAAGATTCCGTTTGGGCTATAGAAGAATAGAGCAATAAATTGAACACTGTCTACAATTATGACGACTGCTCTGACTTGTAAAGTGCCAGTGTAGGCAGAATGCTAATAGGAAAACGGAATACATAACTCAAATTGTGCTAGGCAGCGATCGTAATAAAATTGTAATCATGTCACCGACTAAATAAAGTAATTTTGATTTTATAGTTCAGAAGTAACGGCTCATTATTATATTGAAACAAAGACAAAATAAGAAGATACACGTCCTATATACTCGTACAGATAATGTTGCATCAATAGAATACTTAAAAGAAAACTTAGAACTGTAGAATTTTAATATCATGCTTCGCTTAATAGCAATGGAAGTTTTGGGTTGTTATAAAGGTGCCTAGAAGATTATTTGAGATTTTAACAAACTTTGATACCGGCAGAATGGAAAATTAGTGATACATTATGTTGTTACGAGTAAATAACTTTGTTGGCGTAGGTGAACTTTTATTTGGAGAATGAAGGAAAACAACGATCCAACTGAAGGCATGTGACCGAGCTAATGCTCGACTAACAAAAGTTACTCTTCCACTCTTGCTGCGTATTTTAGTATTATGGTCTTGGTTTTAGCTCATGTTCTTATGTTGCGTCTTGTACATTTTCCATATTTATTTGACATGGCCCCCAGATAAGAGCAATGAGAGCCATCGTTAGTTCAACAAAGTGAAGTTTTTATACGTTTCGAAGTACAATAAAAGCTAATTGCATAATAATAAATGAACAACGTAGAGGCTTTTAAAGCTTGGCAATAAATTATGAAGAACACGATATGTAAATTTCTCTAAAATAAAGGGATACGAATTTTCATCATATATTCAATATTGAAAAGAGTAGTTGTATACCTACTTAAGGTTAGGTATTTAGCTCACTATCATTACAATTATAACGTAAACACTATGGCCAACTTTGTCAAAATGGTTAATTGTGCTAAAGAATCGAAGTTGAGGTGTTTGTTTCTCAAAAATACATCATGGTTGAGTATATTGAATCCAAAATTATCAATCATTCAATTCTCCGATACATCTTTTTCATAGATTTTGTTAAAATACAAATAAAACACAAACCTTGTTGGATAACTTAAATTCTTGCGTTTGGTTGCATTATCTTAAAGGGTCTTTCTTTTATATATAAACCACTTCAAGAAACAAAATGAGCTATTTAACAGCAAATTGCATCTATTACGATACCCATAAGGTACCGTCACGGCGCCGGCTACTGGAAACCAATAAAGTAACCAATTTTGTACAATACCTTCTAATTGGACGTATCCAGAAGTTTAACTGATCTCATAGAAATTGTCTTGATTCAGAATGCCCCTAGATCAAGGTTTGTATTCATGGTATATGAAGTTACAGGAATGGAGATGGTCCGAAATATGTAAATAGATATTTCTTACCTTACCCGCTTCAACCTTCGTTCTGTCATTGTGCGTTTTTGTTGATGTCTTAATTAGTTCCAAGATAAAAGTTTATCAGCTTCTTAATCTTAAATCACGTATTGCAGGTGTACAATATTTTATTTCTTATTTTAACTACGCGATTGCTCTTCTCCCACGGGTTCTTCCTTGAAGGTCTTCCAAATTTTCTCCAAACCCTTTTGATAAGTATCTCCAATTCTTCCTCTGATTGTCTCAAATTTTTTTCCAGTACAGAACGTTGCTCCTAATTTCTCTCTGATCTTGTCTTGTAAACGCTTGATAGTGTTCCACAAGGCTCTTCAGCGCCTCTAGTTCGGGTAATTTAACATATGCTAACGTCTGCTGGGTAATTCGAACTTGTTTTGAATATCCTCAATTTTGTTACTGCCACTTGCTCGAAAGTTGAGTTTCTTTGTTCTAATTTATTTATTTTGGGGCACGGTTGGCTCCATTTGATTCCCTAAAATGTTGATTATCTTGTTTGTTTCTCTACATCACGTTCTTCTGTAAGTCACTTTGAAAATTCGAATTTAACTCCTTATTCTTGTGTTTTATATAACTTCTACCCCCTCCAACTCTCCTGGCTTATACTATTTTTTTGAAAATACTTTTTAATGAAGTTAAATAGCTGCATCTGCGGCTGGGTTCGCTTTACTTGCCGAGACGAGCTCCTGGTTTCAGCTTTCGTAGCAGATTCTCGGTGGTGGAAATCCAGATACCCATCTCCCTCCATATACCCTATCGGGCCCATAACTTTTTCTTTCTCGCCAATTGTTGTCCCATCCTCCTTGTATAAATTTATCTTGTCTTCCATTGTCAGCTTTTTCAATATTATCTCACCTTATTTCTTATGTGCTCGATTTTCCGTCGTCTGTCTGTCTGTCTCTTCCATCAAGATCTGGGCCACCTAGAGACTTCGGGTTTTCGCTAATTAATAGCTACTATGGTGTATATTTACCCGTTACTCATCATTTACAGTTGTGCTACGCTGTATCACCCACGAGTGGGTTTGGAAAATAGTTTTCAAGGCTCTTTACTAAGTTTGCGGTGTGGATGATGCCATCTTCAAATTTCTTTGACTTTTGATGAAACACGTGGTCCGCTTTATAAATTAATGATCCCTGCTGTGATGCTGCTGTTTTTTTTGGGGCTCCTTTCATTTGTTCCTCAATTCTCCAATATCTCTGTCATGCAGGTTAATTCTTTCTTCGTTTTTCTTTATTCCCTCTTCAAGTTATCCCACCACATTCTAGAGTCGCTCTCTGACCTGCTCATGCCTTTCTTATTTCCAATATTGTATTGTCTCATTCCGTCTACTCGTAATTCTGGTGGTATGTGTTTCCAATTTTTCTTCCCGCCGGTCGTAGGCTTTCTTCTGGCTCTCTCTTCTGGTTCATTTCTGCCCGTACTGTTTGTATTTCCAGTCGGGTCTCCCTCATTTCTTCTCAGATTTTTGCTTTCAGCTCACCCTGGTCCACGATACTAAGTTGTAGTCAGAGTTGGACTGGGTCATAGAGTGACCGAGTGACTCGGTGACTCAGTTAGTTTACTGACCCAGTGACCCGGTGACCCAGTGACCAGTTGACCCAGTGACCAGTTGACCCAGTGACCCAGCTTGACCCGGTGACCCAGCTTGACCCGGTGACCCAGCTTGACCCAGTTTGACCCGATGACCCAGCTTGATTCGGTGACCCAGCTTGACCCGGTGACCCAGCTTGACCCGGTGACCCAGCTTGACCCAGTGACCCAGTTTGACCCTGTGGCACAGCTTGACCCGGTGACCCAGCTTTACCCGGTGACCCATCTTGACCCGGTGGCCCAGTTTAAACCGTTGACCCCTAGGTCTAAAGGTTAATTTTTACATTTTGGCATCCAAAACAATTTCAAGTAACTTTTAATTAAAAAAAAAACTTCCTCAATAATATTCGCCAACAAGCACGTAGCCCAATTTTATTCAAGAGAACTAATACCTAAAAAAATCAAATGCATTTGTTTGCAATGAAAGTAGGTATTTAGAGAAAAGATTTATTTGAATTAAGCTAACTGGTAGAAGAAAATTAAATGTGAATGAACACCAGTAAGGAACGGTACGCCCTGAAGCAAAGAAATGAAGGAGGAAACTGTTTAGAAATAACATTACTAATTACTATAATACAATTCGGGACATGGAAAGTTTTTTACGGCAGTATTAAAGCAAACATCACAGAAATGGCAGTTGTTAAGCAATCGAGTATTATTTTCAACAAACCAGCATTAAGTTTCATTTATTTCATAATCTGTACACTTGAACCGAGGTCACTGACTTAACTGCGTTATTCGATCAAACTAGGTTACTGGGTCAAATTTGGTCCCCGGGTGAAATTGGGTCGCTGGGTCAAACTGGGTCACTGGGTCAATCTGGGTCACTGGGTCTAACTGAAGAGAGTATGACGTGACCCAGCGACCCAGTGACCCAGTTTAATTCAGTGACCCAGGTGACCCAGTTGACCCAGTGACCCAGTCCAATTCTGGTTGTAGTATCATGACCCTGGTCGACTTTGATTTTCTCCTGTTATTTGTGAGTGTTGTTTTTCTATCTCTGAACAACCTTTTAATTACGAGAATATGTATTATTTGATGTCGCGCACTTTTCTAAAGCAACTATGGCCAAAAGTGCAAATATGTAGTTAAACTTATTTGACAGGCAATTTTAATGTCAAATTTTCAGACAAGAAGTATAATGGTGTAAATATACTGTAGGCAAGTATGATATTATTTCATAGTATTATGTTTCGCTGGTTGTGCGTCTTCAGGGCCATAATTTTTATTTTGACCCTGTGTTTGAATGTGGTATCGTTTGGTCAAATTTCTGTACCTACTGCACTGCCGACATTTTGTTCTCAAGGTATTCGCATGTGCAGACTGATGCAGTCTTCTACGTGGTCCCAGTGCTGATGGCTCAGTTCATCAGGCGGACGGACGAACGAACGGACTTCCCGCAAGTATAAGATGTATTTTTGCTGGAAAATACCTAGGAAAATACGCTAAAAAAAGACTAAAGAATTAGGAGTAATGTGAAATAAATAAAGTTGTTTATTTTGACATGCATAGATTGATGTATAAAATAAATAATGTCAATTCCTGTAGTTTACGTAATGTGTCATCGATGTTTACTGTAATGATTGCATGTCTGTACTAGGTAGAAGTATCCCCAACAAAGATGCACCTGGAAAAAAACGACATAGGTTATTGTCAAATAATGAGGTCATAACCTCATAATACGAGTATCATAGGAGGTTTCTAAAAATTATCTCTCCTCCCTACAATGTCTTCCACTCTGGAAAATAATGGCACAACTCTCTATCATTTTTAACTAAAAGTCAACTAATAATGAAAATGACTAGAATAATGAACAATGCTACCAGGATTGCACAAATTATTGTTTAGCTTTTCTGCTATAGCTTTCTTGAGATCTACGTATCGCCATAAGCTCCAACTAGAAAATGAACTCACAGTCGCTCTTTCCAGTAGACATAAAATCCAACATAGAGGTTGTGTTTTTCAAAGCATTAATCTTTAGATTCCAAAATAGTTACTTCGAAATCTTAAACTTAAAATAATTTTGCAGAACAAAACTTGATAGGTATCTATACAAAATTGTGAGAGGCATTTGTTTATGTGGTTATCTAAAAGCCAACCGGCTGCAAAGGACGGAGAAACGAAGTTGGGATGCCGAGGGGATTCGCTTATTTGTACCTAGATTTCAACATACTGTTAGCATTATGCGAAACTCCATACGTCTGAGGAAAACCCTCTGACAAAACTCCAGATAGAGCAGTCGGCAGCGGGATTCGAACCCACAACCTCCCGAATAGCAGTCGTTCAACGGAATCACTGCGCCACCGGCTTCGGTATTTAGATAGAGAAGGGGATGTGAAATAAATGGAAACAGTGTGTTGCATCGACAGGCGTAACATAGGAAATCTCATGTAAATTTGAAGAAGGCAATATCTCGTTTGGGGGTTAATGAAAAACATCGAAAGTTATTATTTAGATGAAGATTTTAATGCTCTTCAAATAACCTAAATAGATTTCTTCCTCTAAAATAATTAGGGAAGCCAATAATTAACCTCCACCTTTAAATTTACATGGGATTTCCTATGTCCCGCCTGTCGATGCAACACGCTGTATTAGATCCTATGACTAAGTGTATCTTAAAGTTTTGCGTGAAACTTTGAAGGTACTTACCAGCAGCCATTCCTCCCACAGTTAAAAATGGAAAAAAGCAGCCGCTTGTGAGAAGTGGCGGAAATATCACATTACCTATTGAAGAGCCCAACCTGCCGAACACCATTGCTAACGAAACTGCTATGGTCCTAAATTACTGTTCGTTGGTTGCTTGCTTCATAAATGAAAACTTACCTTAAACTGGTTGGAAATAAGTCAATGACGATACTTAGCAAAACATTTAAGGCGATGTATGTGCATCCAACATTGACGGAAATTAAGGCAATAGCCATTACGATGTTGGTTGAAAAATAAATAAATACGCCACATAACCCAGAACATATTCCGGTCCCACCTAAAATTCGTATTAAAGAAACATAAGGACGTTTGAGACTCTCACACAGAATATTTTTTTTCTTAAATTTTCCCATGAGCGGTAAGCTGCACACGATTATAACGATAGCGGCGACGGAAACTACGATGTTGTGCAAGTAGACTTGGCCATTATTGTAGTTCTAAGGGTCAAGTAAAGTATTTAAAGAACGTTCACGCATTACTTACCACGAAACATGTCTCGTTACTAGCCTGACCATCGTTGCCAATTTGTGACAAGGCACCGCATAAATCAAAACCATTCTCCTTGTGCAAGGATTCATAATTATTAAGAGCAATAAATAATTGCGGTGTCCATAAACGAATCGTGTTCAGACTGCAAAAGGCTACTTCGTCATAGTTTTAAAAGTTGTGATTTTGATTACCCCATTAACAATCCAAAATTAATTGTTAATACAATAAAAATGTTAATTAAAAAAGGCGGATAAAATAATGGCTGTATTTGCTGACAGCCTTCCTTTAGCGCTTGCATATTACTACGGTTCGAGGTAACGTGTCCTCCATGCAATTTGTCCTCAAACAGCTTGGATTCATCAACTAATGTTGTAATCTGTAATGTAAGCGGTACTTGGAAGTTTTAATTGGTACCATTGGTTTATGTCATTTATATTGCCCTTATCTTATTGAGGTCATAAAAAAGTCACGAAAAAAGTTGGTATTCGATAATGCCATGTGCTACTGTGCAATGGTACCCAATGGCGACGATATTTTAGAATAGGCTTACTGGATATTCATCACGTGAACGCCTTGTATTGATCCGAAACATTGTGCGAAAGACTTCTAAAGCTTCCTCGCGCTTTCCCACTGTCATTAAAAACTTTGGACTTTCTGGTAAGATCATGTAGAAGACGAAAGCTACGAAGCTCGGTATGGCAGTAACAAACAAAAATATATTCCAGGACCTTAAAACTAAAAGTGAAATTAAGTTTAAGGTAACCTGATGCGTTGGAACACATACGCATCCCATCATTAAATAACGATAGATTCATTGAGTCTGTAAACAAGCTCCATCCTACTAACGGCAGTACAATGGATGCTAAATTACTGTATATGCCGTTTATTACTGGTATAAATGTCCTATGGTACGCTGAATGGAATTCGTTAGTGTAAGTTAATACAGTTGAAACTCCACCAGTGATTCTAAAATAATCGTGACATATATTTTGTATTTCTCCAAATGAATTTTTGTTTTACACGATTCCTTCAACAAACTTTGCTGCGACAAGGTATGCAAAATACTGCGAAAACCCTGTTAGTATAACCATAATGCCTTCGAAGAAAAACAAGAATACAAGCAATTTTCGGCGTCCGAATAGATCCGTTAGGACACCCCACAAGAAACCACTCACTAACATTCCTATACGTTATGTAGCAATAAAGTAAACTGTTAACTTCCTCGTGCTTACCAAAATATGTGACTGAATTGAGAAGACCTTTATCATCCACAGTCAAGTTCAAATCGCATTGTGCTATTGGAAATACGTATGACATTGATGTTGTACTGAACACGGAGCTTAGTGAAGCTGGTAACATTATAGCGATTACTAAGACGTTAAACAAACCAAAACTGGAAGCTTTGACGGCCACTTCGTGATTTGCGGCAGAATCACAACCTTCAGTTGTTGTACCTATTAGTTGTTTGACAAATTATCATTAGAGTGATTTAATTCTCACCTGTAACTACACTTCCACCAGACCTGCTCAATTCAACACTGTTAGCTGTCATTTTGTGTAATTCAAATTCCAAATATCTGAAAAGATAGATGACCTGTGAAGCTGTTGATAATGTTAATACTGATTGTAAAAATAGTCTCTATACGTTTTCCAGCGTCTATTTTAAACCATACACTTTTACCGGAGAAGAGATAGCTTCACTATCGCGCATTTGGTTATGACATAGGTACTAATCTGAAATTTTCTCACAAATTTGTTGACATACTTTTACCTTCAAGATAAGCTGATTTACAGAACTACCAATTTACGACAGCATAAAATACTTATTTATTACTTACCTATTTCTGTATGAAACACGTAATACCGGCGTGATTCGTAGCTAATTGCGATTACTCGCTGATATTACCCATTTCAACACAAAAAAAAACACGTATTTATACAAAAAATAAAATATTGTTGTAATCTTATGAAGAAAGGAGAATCTATCACACATACTGCACGCATTATTAACTTAACGGTAATAAATAATTTGGAACAACAATATCAAAAAACCAACAAAGGGTATGAAAACCGTTATAGTCTGCATCAAGTGTAGTAGTGTGTGACTCATTCTGAAATACGCATGTCACCGCCACTCGAAGGTCGCGTTTTGTTAACCGTGTGCACCGGCAGCCACCAACCCTTCATCTTCTTACAGTGACTATAAATACAGTGTGATCATACAGTTTGTTATTTTCTATTGGTAGTTGAGATATCCCTCATGTTTCAACCAAATGCACCGAATTGGTAGAAATGAACCTGGAGACCCTGAAAACAGTTGGAGCAGTAATATTGTAACCGTAGCAAAATTTTTCAATTCATTTAAACCAACTAATAAAAATTTGGAAAAAATAAGATTGCGTACCTACATGGGGAATATGGCCACACATTCACTGAACTAAGCTGTCAAATCCTGAATGCAGAATTCATAATATGCGATTTCAAAACTGAAAGTAATTACCTATTATTTATTTTCCCATATAATTCACTATTATAGCTTTAAAAGTGGTGGGTGGAATACAGAAAACCAACGGTAGGTTTTTCTGTGTTGATCCATTTTAAAAAGCAAATGGAAGTGACGGATTGTTTCGTTGCTAAACTGCATTCGAAATTATAAAAAATTATAAACAATGAACCATCATTTTATTTAATCAGGCCCGCTTGAACCGCCAAATTTACTCTGAGGTTAGCTTAAACTCTATTGCAATGATTACTGCGACAATGTTTATAATAGATTTTATGTCTTACTAACCTATAAGAGCACATTTTATATCTGTGATACACGGGCATAAAGTACCACTTTATGCTCTAGGGCATTAAGTATCACCATAGTAACTCATTTATACTTAATGACAAAACAAACAAAGATATGCAGGTCATTGAAAACTAGAAACGTCAATTATTAATTGTTAATACCTACTAAATCACAAGATTGACATTTCGTATAGTTTCTGGAACTTCTTGGAAATTCACGATGAATTGAATTATTTAAAATTACGTTTGACGTTTGGATGGTTTCAATCACATTAACAAATTCGAACCACGCATACTCGATCAAACATAATGAATTATTTTGTAAACGAATTTTGACGAAGAAAACTATTTGTAAAACATAAAATTGTGTATGTACCACGGGCATAAACTATGTTTATACTCTCGGGCGACTAAAAAGCTCTCGGGCCATAGGCCCTCGAGCTTTTTAACTCGTCGCCCTCGAGAATATAAACATCACTATTATGCCCTTAATACATAAATAACTATTAAGACCTTTTAAATCTCTAACTTAGAGGTTATGTATCTACCGTGTGGCTAGGTTCCAGTGTGAAGCACAAATGAATATTAGTGAAGCACTAAGGATTTTGCCAGATCGCGACATTTGTGCCTTATTAATAAAAACGTTGTTGCTAACCTCCAGCCTTTGACTTTGAGGCTTTAAATCTCCTGAACCGTAGGTGTGACCCGTATCTGATGTGAAGCACAATGAAGCACTAAGGAAACACTGACTTTGCATGGTGACGTCATTTATGCTTCATCGATGGATAACTTCCTGGACCTTAGAAATCGTTCCGAGCAGACCGCATGGGTTGAATACAAACCACCATCATTCGCTGTATGTGAAGAAAGTAGCATAGAACGGACAGACCACAAACCGCAGTATGTAGAATTTTGAAAAGGAGTAAGTTTCATTTCTATCACCAACAATTACTTCAAGATTAGAGGAAATTGTTATTCTACGAAGACACCATTTTTGTTCCAAAAGCTCCTCTGTATAGACAATTGGCATTTCAATGTTATTGCAATTGATTAGACCACCTACAATACACATTTCTAGATGATGATGTACTCCTTAAGTGAGATCAACGGTTTATTTCTATCCTTCCTAGTTTTCCATATTGTTTTTATTTATTGTTAAACATAATAGACCATATATTATAATGATCAAAGACTAATTATGTAACAAATTTATCGCAAATCTGTAGTGGATATCTGAATGAAGTCCACAAAATACCTCTTCCTTTTGCTGCGTTTTTCGATAATGATATCCTCTGTAAATTACCTGGTTCAAAAGGTAATTAGTGGACAAAATGAGGAATAATGTTTGTTAACATTTTTAATGATACCTTTATTTCCTGTTATTTGTTCCAATCATTTTTACTGGTCAAATAATTTATATGATATATATTTGTAATTATTAGGTGGCATGTGTATGAGTGAACTAATACACATACTTACGTATGGCAGATCCTGATCAAACGACATTTCGAACACCCAACAAAAGATGTATTTTGTTTAAATAAACATTGTAGCTAACAATGAAAACTTTGTTACAATGATTAAGCATATACCATAAGCCGATTTTAAATAAATTCTCTTTTTCGAAAAATAATAATTGTATATTTAGCGTATTTTTTGTGCATGACCTATGAAGGTTTTTTTCTGAACACGCAAAACTGCCAGTGCAAAGATGTAAGTGTTTCAATAACACATGTGTGTACTACCGTTGCAACCCTATCATTCTATTATTTTATAATCATGGGTAGAAACATATTCGGCACGAAAACATGGGCATCCAGTAATCGAGTCAACACAATTCATAATTGGAATTTATTGCAAACAACTTACAACAAATTACCTATGCATGAAGGCGTTCTTCTATCTAGAAGATGGTAATATTCACTTCACCAATAAAAAATTGCGAGGTTATTGGAATCACTCCAAATTTCGATTTTGAGATTTCACCGGATCTTTACGTTTCGAGGTTCCAGGAGTCCAACAAAGTGGTTTTTAAAAAATGTCTGTATGTTCGTATGTGTGTATGTGCGACTGATTGGGTTGAAATTTGAAACATATGTTCCCTTGAATGGTATCGAGAACTGAAAATCTTTTGGAAGGGATTCGAAAATGGCAAATGCCTTTTTGGCAACCAAATCGATATCTATTGAATCATGTAAAAGTTTGTAAGGAGCAGACCGATTTGGCTGAAATTGTGTATCAGTACTCCCTCTAACAATCCTGAAAACTGAGAAGATTTTGGAAACGATTGGAAAATGGGAAATGTCCTTTTGGCTATAAAACTTATACAAGTAATTTTTCTTAAATGTATACATGGGCTAAATGTATACTTTTAAAAAACGGATCAAACGCATGAAATCATGATACTAGTATTACGTCATGAAACCGATGTCTGTAGGCAACCAACCTTACACGCGACAAACTGGAGCCATTTTTACAGTTCTTAAACTCTTACCATCGTCCCACTGTTATTATTTCTACCTTATCGTCTTTGATATACATCTTTGTGTAGGTAGTTGATAATAATAAAACTAAATGATAATAGCTAACCCTAATTTGGCATTGAATAATTAAGTTACTGTTTCCATAGCAGACGCTGATTACCATTTAAAACAAATTCGTGTAGAGTTGGTTGTCTATTATAGCCATCTATTCCATGCGTTTGATCCTTAGACTATGGAAGGAGGGGACTCGTAATACCCAATCAAATGTAATGCTGCGGGTTGAAGCAAATTTAAGCATAGCTTGGAGGCACAATAGCTTGTTCACTTCTTATTTGTGCCGTGCAGATGTTTGCATTTTCGGCCGTATGTGATTATAGGTATATAAATTGGATTTATCCTTGTGAAAATGGTACGGTCCGGTTGTTGCTTTAATCCCACGAAAAATGACTGTGGGCATAGCTCATATGTATACATTTAAGAAAAATTCCCTGTATTTATTTAATAAGGTATATGTGCAACAAAATCTTGATTGAGAGAAGACCGTGTAAATTTTAAGTCACAACAAGTTTAACATGAATTAATTTGACAGGTCACGTTAAGAAGTTATTAGTGAGTGTAATTAAATACAGTTATGGACAAAATAATACCCATGTAATACATTGATCGGTGGGACTGGTGAGGTTCCCGCCGCCTGTAGTATAGAAGATGCGGAGGACTTATGGTAATAAGAAGCAGATTCCCACGATTTACTGTCAAGTAAAGGTTTTTGCCGAGTAATTCTATTGGTAGTATCTTGGCTTACCATTTATCGCTCAGCTTCCACAGCAAGGTTGAAGCTAGTGTAGACTGCGACTGAACTGTAACATGTACTGGCATAGGGTGATGTTTAGTGAAAAATCTAGCTTCTGTTTGAATGAAATGAAATAAATGAAGTATAGGGGGCATTATGGGTAGAAGATTGCGAAATTTGACGAATCCTTAAACAAATCGACCACCGACTGGAATCGATGTACAGGTTTTTTTTTATTTCGTGTTTTCACAAAACAGCCTTTATCACGGATTTAGAATTTTTTTCTCAAAACAAGCCCCGACTAGTAAAAAACAAACAATAACGGTCGATTGAATAACGCAATCAGAATATAACTCAACTATTGTACTTCCCTACACTCCACTTTTAAAAAGCGGCAGAGCAAAGCGATGCAAGCTTTATAGGGGAGTCGATGGTGCCCGTCTGTCCGTCTGTCCGTGAACACGATAACTGTCAAACGCTTTGGTTCAAACTTTGCACAGTTGACCTATATGCCACATGTAATAAGCCTATGGGTCAAATCCAATGACCCCTTGGGGTCACGCCTCTCTGTCTCTGCCAAACGCTTGAACCTATTTATTTGAAACTTTGCACAGTAGACTTATATGCCACAGTGAATTGAAAATTGGTCAAATCCAATGACCCCGTAAGGTCACACCGAGGTGCTCTGCCGCTTTTTTAGACGCTCTTTATGGGTTGATTTTTATCTTGCGTGAACAATAACGAAGTAAAATCCAAAATCAATATTAACCAGTAGGACTGATTCCTAACAGATCCTGAGTCATTAGTTACGGGATGTTCGAATTAAAATGCGGATTACGGTGGGTTATATTTCCACCGTAACAATGAAACGTGACATACCAAAAATTATAGGAAACAATTAAGAAAAATGGCCTGATAAGGTGCATATTACCTACACTTCACTTTGATTTATATGGTATAATATGCCATATATGTAGATTTAGTATGTGATAACTGATAAGCATGCCGTAGGAAAATGGAAAATTTGCTAATATTGCTTTATACCGTAATCTTATCTATGGCAAACAGTGACGATATCTCAAAGTCGTAATTTCGTACATCTACCTAATTTGCTTTCTCAAATTAAAAAGTGCAACTTTCTCTTTAACTCTTCCCAACAAAAGCCATCTAGTGAAGGAGAATTGGTTATTTTGAATTGGGTAGCTGTCGTTATGTTAGTCCTTTAAGATTTCCTCTTTCTAGATATCTGCTTCTAGGGATTTCTGAACAAAAAATCGACGGTGTGCAACAAATGAGTCACTTTCGGCTCATAAAGTTGGCAGTTATTCCAAAATTGTTTCTCTCCAATGTGCAAACGTTGAACAGACAAGAATCACACGATGAAGGAAATCCCGATCTGTTCCTGGTACTTATTCATCACATCAAACTTTGAGTTCGTGCATGTGCTCACGACGAGTTACTAAAACCTTTGTCTTTGAATATACCTACCCACAAAAAACCACTGGGCACGAGGACCTCGATGATCAATTTAAATCACCAAATCGTGAAATGAGTTGCCAAGTAAACACTTCGTGCAGAATTCTCATAGAGTTTCTAGCGGTGTGTGCTTTTGCTCCATCATACGGGTATGAATTTCAAAAACATATCCACTGAATCTCGGCGCCCCATGAAAACACAATCGACGTCAAAAATGTCACAGTAATTAGGTTTTAAAGTTATTATAAATTGGGGTGGAATGGCTAACCCCGTTCAGGCACTAAACGATAATTTCTTCTACAACAGCATGCTGGCAAGAGCCCTGGTTCCTCTTATTCCCACAAATTGTTAGACAATATGTGTTTTTTTCTGCAGAACTACAAACTATTTTATTTTAGTTCGAACTCCAATACGGCACTGGTTGGATAAACTACATGATATGGATAAAACGATGGAAGAGATGGCAGTCCGTAATGATTACATGTGGTTTCTCCTTCTAATGCTTCAAAGTAAAAAAGTTACAGAGCCGTTCAGTAATATTCCGCCACCTGAATTGAAACCTCTGAGAAAAATATTAGTGAGTAGCTTAACTTTTTATAACAAGAAGCTATTTATTCTTAGGCGCCTGCTGTTTATGAGGAAATCTTGACCGCTACAGACCAAAATATGGCCTGGTTAGACAACGTAAACGAACATAATACAGAAAGGAAATTACCTGAACCGATCTCGTCTCTGCCATCCCAATTTCTTGACAACCAGCCTTTGCCACAAAATGGCATTATTTGCTATATGGCGGCGTTTAGTGATCATGATTTTTAGTAAAATGTATTGGACAAAAACAAATCAATATAATATCATTTTTACTTTATGATAATAATTATGTAGTTGGATCAACAGATTCTTTCAAACATAACCGTGGTGCAATTGACGTAATTTCCGAGCATTTGGTACTACGTTGATAACGTTTAAAAGGTAATAGTTTAGCATTGATAAGTGCCGCTATTTGTGTCCCAAAATTTGCCAAGGTAAGCTGTCTTTTAAATTCGTTACCTAGTGTCCGATTAAAAGCATTTCAACTGCTGTGTTAGTATACCTACGAGTACCTTCAATAAAGATATCTTACTTTATTAATTCTGTTTTTATTAAGTGCGATCATGCAGATATCAATTACTCTATAATACGAATCGAGGTTTTATTCTTATTTATTTCATTATACTAATTCGTTCCACCACGTCATATCTTTTATACCTATTGGAGATGGTGAACATATAATTAATTAAATAGGTCCTTTTTTTGTGTGAAATTTAATCAAATATCTCAAGTAATGTTTTCATACATGTTGTAATGAGTAGGGTACCTGATTTGCGTACACACTTCTGCTTTTACATCACCGTGGCGTATAAGCCACGTGTGGTATCGTAGGTTTTTTATTCTCCTGTTATTATTATGACTTTTCCATTTTTCATCCAAATTCGCTAACACAATAATTGGTAAAATATGATAAAATTACAGCTCTGTAGAAAATGGCTTATTGTACATATTTCTTGCTGGCACTCCAATTTACGTGGATGGCACGTTCCCTGACCGCACACATACCTGCGAAGCGAATGACAATTAGTCATATTGGTCACCATAGAAGCTTTGAGGTAGTGGACCACCACCAGCACGGTTTTACGCCTGCTCCTCACGTCACTAAAGTCTACAGAGATATTTGTTCTCAAGATGCAGAGTGCGTACTTCCCGTTCAATGTCCCGCTCACGTCCACGATGATGGGGTCTTAAAATGCAAGACAATTTTAGGTCGTGTAGGAATCTGCTGCAAAACTGGCCAAAACCATACAGGTACCTTTTTTGTAAGTATAAAACTTTTACAGTGTCGAGTGGTTTTCAGCACTTTTCAACGAGAAAGTAAGAGGTCATCACGTCGTGCACGCAGATTTGGAAGCAATGGGGGATGTGACTCGTCGTAGTCGACTGGAATTATCAGAATTACATTTACGTGAAATGAAAATTCTGACGCACTCCAGATCGGCTTTAGTTCCACTTGGCACAGCTAGTTACGGACATTTTCGGAATTCTCGGTTGCACAGCATGCACGATTTATTAGAGGTCATGAGCGTTGCAAATCGCGCATTAGAAATTGCATTAGCCACCCGGGCATTCAAAGATAGGTATCTCTTAATTCATCCAATAAAGAGTAACGCTACATTATGTGTTGGCTTTTGTAGACAAGGCGTTACAAATCAACAACTAGAATACGGAATGATTCACCAAGATTTAAGCCAGACGCCACTCGGTGCCGCTTGCGTACCTCCACCAGTTTGTCCCCCCGTACCACCCCGCTTCAGAAAAATTGACGGCTCATGCAATAATATCAACAATCCGTCTTGGGGTATGCCGCTTACGCCATACTCTCGACTTTTACCGCCAGTATATCATGACGGTAAGAATGCGAATACCTAAAGATCGGTTTCTTACGCCCCAACTACAGGAATTTGGACCCCAAGGGTTTCTGAAGATCAAGGTCAACCACTTACCAGCCCTCGACTTATCAGTACCACCTTATTTTCCGACGAAGATATTCCAAACCCAGATTATACACTGATGCTAATGCAGTTTGGTCAATTTATTTCCCACGATATCACCCAATCGCTTGACACCAGCTTTGGTAAGTTGGGTCTTTGGCTAACCTAACCTAAATCTGTCAAATTTCAGCGAATGGTAGTGCGATTTCCTGTTGCTCTGAAGATGGAAGTGCGGAGATTCCTCATGAGTTCAGGCATTTTGCCTGCTTTCCAGTCGTGATTCCACGCAAAGATCCATTTTTTGGCAGGTATAGCCAGGGCTGCATGAACTTTGTAAGATCAGTCTTAGCGCCTCGACATGATTGCACTCTTGGTTACGCACAACAGGTAGTACTCGGCGATTAAAAAGGTTATCCTTTAATCGTGCATTTTTGCAGATGAATAAAGTCAGTCATTACATTGATGGATCGGCGATTTATGGATCTAGTCCCGATCAGACTAGAGCACTGCGAAGTTTTGAATTTGGTCAGCTGACCGTGTTTGATGACTTCGGTCGTCATTTGCTACCGCTCTCTGAAGATCCCGATGCGTGTTTAACCACGGAACAAGGATCGGCTTGTTTCACATCAGGTATCTGCCTCGTTTGCTTCGAACCACTAAATGTCTTTTAGGCGACACGAGGACAAACCAAATGGTTTCATTAACGGTTTTGCATACACTTTTCATGCGAGAACACAATCGCATAGCAAACGAGCTGGCGCAAATTAACCCACACTGGCAAGACGAGCGTATATTCTTAGTAACACGTCAAATTATTATTGCAGAACTGCAAGTAGTCACCTACGGTGAATACTTGCCAGCTCTATTAGGTACCTACGTCTATTGACGTTTGCTAGTAAGCCTCAAGTATGACTTTCAGGTGAAGCTGCAATGGAAGAATTCGACTTATTATTGGAGAGAGATGATTCTTACTCGTACGATTATAATCAGAAAGTGGATCCTTCTGCAATTAACGAATTTGCCTCCGCTGCATTCCGATTTGGTCATTCGATGGTAGACGGAGTTCTAAAGTAAGTAAATCTTGTTGTAATTATTTGCAATTTGTTTAAATGTTTTAGAATCTATGGAAAAACAAAACTTGAAGCGGCCATCGACATTCCCGAGGTTATGTTTCACCCCGCAAGGATGCGCAAACATGAGTTTTATGATCAGATGTTAACTACGATGACAACAGATGCGATTCAAGACGTGGACAACTCAATGAGCGATTCCGTAAGCAAACGTTAATGTCTGTAATTCTTAGTTAGTAACGCTACTTTAGTTAACAAAGTATATGTTTCGAGCGGGAAATCCATTTGGAGTTGATTTAGCAGCGATAAACATTCAAAGGGGGAGAGACCACGGATTAAGACCTTATAACGACTATAGGGAATTGGTAGGACAGCCGCGGATAAAGTCTTTTGAAGAATTCGGACCAGAGGTAAAGTTACTGATTTCGTTTAACGGCTAACAGTCTTATCCATAGCTCGGGGAGAGACTAAAGAGCGTGTACGTATCAGTTGATGATATCGATCTCTGGGTTGGAGGACTTCTGGAGCCCAAGTATGGAGATAGTGTTTTAGGATTAACGTTTAGAGATATAATAGCGGAGCAGTTTTCCCGGTTGAAACAGGGGGATAAATACTTTTTTGAGCATGATCCAACCATTAATCCGGGATATTTTACACCCGGTAGGCGTTACCCAGTTCATTTTCCATAATTATACATATTTTATAGAACAACTCGTGGAGATCAGAAAAGTTACGTTGTCGAGGATCATTTGCGATAACCGAGATGGTATTTTACTAGTACGTCAAGCACCAAATGCATTTAGAAAGCCAGGATTGCCAGGGTAATTACTTATTTCTGTATGTGCAAATATTATAATAACGTTTCATTCGTTTAGGAACGAGTATGTTGATTGTACTAGTCCGGCGTTACCTCATATGAATTTGCTTTACTGGCAAGATTAGGGGAACATTTTAATGTGTACTTCTTTGTGATATTTTTTTAAAAATAATTGTTAATTATACGTGTATGGAATACTTACATTAAACTTGCGAGTTATTATCTACAGGCCCTAGTGATTGCAAATGAGAATTGGTGTGTATGTAGTAAAACGCGGAAATTACGTAAATGATGTATTAATAAACAAGCATGCTATTAGGTATATTATAATACAGTCCTTTACATAATGGGCTCATGCTAGTACCTTGCACATTGTCAATTCCAGCCCTTAATTGATAACGACCAAGGCACCTTAATTAAATTGACACTATTCGTAATTGGATGCTCGTTTTACAAAATACAGAATCGCTTTCTCTTATGTTAATTAAATGGCATTCTGCATTAGAAATTATATCTACTAGATACAATTAGACACGTTCTAAAATTAACAATCAATTTACAAATTTAACATAACACCTGGATTTGTTTGAGTTTACTATTTATGTAGAAAATCGCTCAGAGTCCATCTTAGTTTAACCTGTTGATGTTTTTCTGCAAAATAAATAGTTAACGGAATCACGGCGGAGGGTTACACTAACACTTACAATGAGTTTATAGAGTCTCATCCTATCTTCAGCTGTTCTATGTCGACTTGAAGGTTGTTCGTCAACGTACAGCGAATCGTCATTTATAGCCATTGTGTCAAGCGTATCTGAATCGATATCATCTTGACTAAAATAAAATGTTCATGAATGATTGGATGTAAGTAATAATAGTGTCTTACAGAGCACTTTTAATGTTCTCCAAGTTAGAATGCTTTGGAACCGCAACATCGTTCTGGGCTTTCCATTTGCGCACATCGAACGAGGGTTGTAACAATCGGGAAAGGGCCCATTTGGTATCACTTATGGAGTCGACTGACGAATCTTTCGTGTCCCCATTACTTGTGTCACTTCTTTTTCCATGCCCTGAAATGTCATACAGATATTTTTAGTGCGAGTGTTCTTTTTTTGCAAAAATTTTTTTCATTGAATTTGTAACTAATGTAACGAATTTTAAGTTCATTATTCTCACACACCGTTGTCCTATTACTTACCTCCCCAACAGGAATGTCCGTAGCTTAAGCAGGAACCTGTAACAAAATAACTCATATTATGTAGGTAATGTTTGTTCCTCAATGTGCACTTATACAACTAGTGAACGTTAACAGTAATAGGACTGGTTACACGTATTAAAAATTTAAAATTTATACAATCGCATTCTTACTTATATTGCACCATCAAGCGTTGAAGACGTATTACTACCCCTTTAAGAAGCAATTGTATCTTGCGCATCTTGATTACGATACGAACGACTCGTTACAAAACATTTTGAACTGATTTACTGGTTAGTGCACTAGGGAAAATTGAAAATGATCTATTGTCGTATAAGTAGGAATTATGTCTTTTTTGAATACTACTACTAAAATTTTCAATTAAAAAAATAATTGCAAGGAACCAACTGTATACCTAATCGCTCTTGAAAATAGCGAATAAATGCTAGTTAATTTTTTCGAGTTTATTGTTTGATCTGTTTCATTAGCAACGAGGGGATCTGGGAAGTTAGCAGAACATTGGCGGCATACAGGGTGATTCCTATAGTACCTGCCACCGTTTGGGAGCGTATAGGGGGTGCCTAGGGGAGTATTTTGATATAGGACACTTGGGGTCGGAAATCTAAAACAAGGGCGCCAGAACCAAATTTATCTTCTGGAATTTCACGCCTGTATGTAGGCAACCCAACCGACCGACGTTTCGCGCGGAGCGATGCAGAGCGAGTTAGCGCGAGGAAGCGACATGGGAGGGAAGGACGGAAAACGACAGTCAAAAGCAATAACGTTTACAAGTGTTCAACGTGGCCACCGTTGTTCTCAATGCACTTCCTACATCTAGCCAACTATTATTATACTATTGCGATAGTGTTTATTCACTTGATACGCGTCGTTGCAGACGGGATTTCGTGGGTTTAAACAAAATTCTGATCAAGTGTCAGCCACACATTGCCGCCTGAGATCGCTCCGTGTGCACCGCCGGCCGGTTGGGTTGCCTACCTACAGGCGCGAAATTCCAGAAGGTAAATTTGGCTCGGGCACCCTTATTTTAGATTTTCGACCCCAAGTGTCCTATATCAAAATACTCCCCTACGCACCACCTACACGCTCCCAAACGGTGGCAGGTACTATAGGAATCACCCTGTATATCTCGGAATTAGATTGATTACGTGCGTGGCGGTTTCTGTAGTAAAAAGTGTGCCAGAAAAACATACCGTTTGGAAATAATGTTACCATTGCACACTTTGGTGTTTATAAGACCTTTTGGCGTATTCATCACCGATATTACACTGACTCAATTCAGAACAGTTGCGACAACCGGGTATCTTGCTTTTGATTGGTCGTTTGTTCCGGTCGCCATATTGGGGCTAAAATGCTTTGCCACTTTGATATTATAGGAGTTTACACTTTTCTTTGTGTCCTTGCGAATTCTGTGAAGTGTGAATAAAGATGCTGCTCAAGGTAAAATGTATTGTGGATATTCAGTTCTATATGTATACGGTGTGATTGGTTTTGCGTGTCCAAGCTTATATTTCTTTTATTATTGAAGATAGGAAAAAAGTGTAAGAAGCAAAAATACTCTACTGTCAATTTCTGATAAAGCTACATATTCAAAAAACAGGTGATATAAAAACGAAAGAGCATCCGAAAATGAATTAATTTTTTTTTAATAGAACGGTTACTTGTGTCAGTACCCTGGTCAGAACTATTCTTAAAGAGCTTGAAATTTTTACTTTACAATGATACGAGTATCACATATGTTATAATTACCTTATAAACTAAAGCTACAGTAATGTGTTTAGAACCAATCGCAGTAGCTGTGGAAATTTTAACAAATACATAAAATCTACAACAGGAAGCGAGGAAAACAAATGAAAAGCAGTTACAGAAATCATTATTATAACTTAAGAAAATTTAAATATACATTACACTTGCTTCCTATGTATTATCATTACTTCGAATAAATTTTCATCATTTGTGTAATTACTATTATGTTGCATTGTGGTTCTTATAAGTTATATTGTTCACTGGACTACTTTTGTGGCAGACATAACAAATGAAAAACTCTCCTTTGTTTTTGTTTAAATTTTGACAGTTACTGCGATTGGTTTTAAAAACATTACTACCGAAGCTTTAATTTCTAAGGTAATTATAAACATATTTGATATCATTGTAAAGAGAATTTCAATTCAATCAATTATTCTTTTGAACATGTAGCTTTATTAGAATCTTAAAGTAAAGAATTTTTGTTTTTTGTGAGTGTGTAGTAGCTGATGTTAATTAACACTCCCCCCACTATAAAATGCCGGCAATGGAATAAATTGGAGCAAAATCGCTAAGCCCATACACAAGGATTAGAATTTACTCAGCTCACTGGGACAAGGCCAAATTTACCAATAACTTAAGAATACATATTTATGCTCGCTAAGTTACAATAGTGTAAAAAATTTAACGGAAATCACGGAAGGCGTCTTAAGTACCTATCCGGACGAGAGGACAAAGCGATGAACAATTTCATAAAATTTTGCTGCTTAATTAGGTACTGTTTTTTAAATCTAAAGTAAAGCAACTTGTGTAATGTGTTACAGTTTTCTTTTTACTCCTTTGAAGAATTTGAGGAGTGATTATTATTATTATTATTATTAATATATATGTTAAGCTGTTAGCCTTTTAGTACTCGTATTTCCTATCACAGTTACTTAATCAGTTATCAATTTTTAATTGGATTTAAGGACTAGGTCCGTCATTGCCTACGAATATTCCAAAAAGTGATTTCAATAATATTACAAAAGTGTGATATGAATTATGATACAGGTACCGAATGAAATATTACGGAAAAAGTTTACAGGGTTATGGAATGGCTTCGGACTAGGCTTTGGATGTTGTCACTTCAAGGCTGTTGTGCAGCCTTTAATAAACAAGTAAGACATGAATAAATATTTAGAGGTAATTAGTAATTTCTCTAAAATACTATTTGTATAATAAACAATGTTCTTGGTGAAACGTAAAATCAATTGTATGAATAAACGCGGTATTATTTCATTATTGTTTATTTGAGATTTGCCGGTAGGTATAGGATTTCACTTTTGCATTACTCTAAATTTAACGCAATTATTTTTAAAAGAAATTTGTGCTGCATCGTTCGTTCATTAGCGGAAACGAAGTTATGCCATGAAGAATTCATACAAAAGTGTTTTTAATTTCTAAATTCCTCTTTGAATCTTTTGTCCAAATTTGCATACCAAAGACGAAATCTCCTTCTATTTAATTAACTCCCTCGATCGCAGTATTGTGTATTTTTCAATTTTAATCGAAAAAAAATAAGATTTCTAAAACTCCTTGTTGATGGTTACGTTAGCACTTTACTTTCAATTAAATTCTCAAAATGTAAATAGAATTAGAAGTACATTGTGTTGAAAAGTTGATCGAGTGGGTGTACAAAACTGATCTGGAGTTTTTATTCATGTTCTCTTTCCTCTTATTTATTTATATTTTCTTAATAGAAAATCGTGCCCTCAAAGCGTAAACGTAAAACCAAATTCGTAAAATCTATTTTATTGTAGACATGAAGCCTGCAGCATTTGAGGGTTGATGAAAATTATATTCTGTTTGCTGTTACACCTAGATGCTATACCTAGTGATATATTATCCGTTTTTACTCCTACAAAAAGTAAGTTCAGGGAACAGTATCACGACAGCAAAGTGTCCTGGCTGCGGTTCAGCTTGAATTTTAATTACGTTACAAGAGTTATTCCAATTTACATAAGATGCCATTGTTTTTTGTAATGAAAAAATGAAAACAAGTAGGTAGTCGTCAAAGTGTTTGTTTTTTGATAGCAGAAGAAAATTTACTTTAGTTTTATATTACTATAATGTAACGGCATCATATAGGTACTGTTTGTTGCGAATTGTATAGGTGTTCTATGCAAGGTATAACTAGCAAGAACAGACAAAAACAAGCATTTGAAGTAAACCAAGATCCAAAGCATTTTGTTTTTAGTCTTGTCTCGGGAAATCCCAAATTCCTTCTTTAACATTCCTCCTAAAAAGCTTAATATACTTAAACTATCATTGCGCAGGGAATTTAAGCCTATACTTCATTCATTATAAGAAGGTAGTAGAGGGTGCTGGGTTTGAAGATAAGCACACACAGGAAAAATATAAAACTGCACCAAATTATTGTAAAGTAGAAATATCTAGCACTGCAAACACGAATCAATCTTTGACATTAACAGTTCATGACACTTCAATAGTTTAGATGCCAACAGAAACTACCAGCTTGCAAAATTCGCTACTCGTTTTATGTTTCAGCGTAATACTGACTTGTGTTTTAACCAATCACACTGAAGGTCAAATCTTCCCTATGTTTTTTACCGCTACCTTCTTAAAATGGATACAGTATAAGATCATATAAATTTGATGGTGCAAATAGGCATTAGTCAGCTCAAAAACTGTGACTTCCAGAGTGGGACTTTCTAAAAAAATAACATCAGGCCGATTCTAATGGGCTAGTATCAAGTTAAATCCCGTCTGATTCCTCGTTGATTACTATTGAATATACATTTATAATAACTAAAATCGGCATTTCAGAGTGTGAATTGCAAAAAGCACCTTTGTTCTGCGATTTTCGTCGTATGATCAAATTTAGAATCGAATAAAAACCAAACCACCACATGAAGTTTTTTTTACCTCTGTCCAAAAAAGCGTCTTTGACCATTTCCTAGGCAGCTTTAATTTTTCGAAACAAAAATTATCTCACAAATTAGTTTCCAAACAATCCTGGATGATCCCCAAAAGCTCAAAATTCATTTCGAACAATTTTTACAAGAGACGACCAAACGATCGAGGGATACACTGTACTTCTGTCCATTTTGATTTTGCGTGCACCATTACTGAGAAGTATAATTGGTTGCTTAAGGACCTGCATAATTGATGTATATTTTCTTCCAACTTTCATTAAGCGTTTTACAGTGATAAAATGGTACTTTTAGGGCGTGTTTAATTTTGACACACTGGACAATGTTTTACAAAAGTATCTATGC